CAATTTCAAAGATTTTACTGAGTTAACGTTCATCTGAGGAAATCAGTCAATTGAAATAAATTCATTAGGCCCTAATCTATGGATTTCACATGACTGGGAAGACAGATATACATCTGTTGGTAACAGATACCTTAAAATAAATGGGCCTCACAATGGGCCTCAGGATCTCGTCATGGTATTTCTGTTCATTAAAATTGCCATCGATAAAATGCAATTGTGTTCGTTGTTCGTAGCTTATGCCTGCCTGCCCATACCATAACCCCACCGCCACCATGGGGCACTCTCTTCACAACGTTGACAACAGCAAACCGCTCGCCCACACAATGCCACACATGTGGTCTGCAGTTGTGAGGCCGGTTCGACGTACTGCCAAATTCTCTAAAACCATGTGGTAGAGAAATGAACATTAAATTATCTGGCAACAGCTCTGGTGGACATTCCTGCAGTCATCATGCCAATTGCACACTCTCTCAAAACTTGAGAGATCTGTGGCATTGTGTTGTGTGACAAAACTGCACATTTTAGAGTGGCCTTTTATTGTCCCCAGTACAAGGCGCACCTGTGTAATGATCATGCTGTTTAATCAGCTTCTTGATATGCCACACCTATCAGGTGGATGGATTATCTTGGCAAAGGAGAAATGCTCACTAACAGGGATGTAAACAAATTTGTGCACAACATTTGAGAGGAATAAGCTTTCTGTGCATATGAAATATTTCAAGGGATCTTTTATTTCAGCTCATGAAACATGACCAACACTTTACATGTTGTGTTATATTTTTGTTCAGAGTACTTTTGGAGGACAAAAGTGACTTTGTTTTCACAGTTTTGTTTTTTTACAGGTGTTTTGTTACATATACACTACCATTCAAAAGTTTGGGATCACTTAGAAATGTCCTTGTTTTTGAAAGAAAAGCATTTTTTTTGTCCATTAAAATAACATCAAATTGATCAGAAATAGAGTGTAGCCATTGTTAATGCTGTAAATGGCAATTGTAGCTGGAAACAACTGATTTTTTATGGAATATCTACATAGGCATACAGAGGCCCATTATCAGCAACCATCAGTCCTGTGTTCCAATGGCACGTTGTGTTTGCTAATCCAAGTTGATCATTTTAAAAGGCTAATTGATCATTAGAAAACCCTTTTGCAATTATGTTAGCACAGCTGAAAACTGTTGTGCAGATTAAAGAAGCAATAAACTGACCTTCTTGAGACTAGTTGAGTATCTGTAGCATCAGCAATTGTGGGTTCGATTACAGGCTCAAAATGGCCAGAAACAAATAACTTTATTCTGAAACTCCCCAGTCTATTCTTGTTCTGAGAAATGAAGGATGTTCCATGCGAGAAATTGCCAAGAAACCGAAGATCTCGTACAACGCTGTGTACTACTCCCTTCACAGAACAGCGCAAACTGGCTCTAACCAGAATAGAAAGAGGAGTGGGAGGCCCCGGTGCACAACTTCTAGGCAGAGTTGCAAAGAAAAAGCCATATCTCAGACTGGCCAATAAAAGATTAAGATGGGCAGTCTGAGATATGGCTTTTTCTTTGCAACTCTGCCTAGAAGGTCAGCATCCCAGAGTCGCCTCTTCACTGTTGACGTTGAGAAAGGTGTTTTGCAGGTACTATTTAATGAAGCTGCCAGTTGAGGACCTGTGAGGCACCTGTTTCTCAAACTAGACACTCTAATGTATTTGTCCTCTTGCTCAGTTGTGCACCGGGGCCTCCCACTCCTCTTTCAAATAATCACGAGTCCACTCTGAGTTACCTTCACCAACTCAACAGTCCCCAACCTCTCCTCCACCCAAACTGACACCACAAAAGCAAAGATCCATTCACTCTACAAATCTCACTCCCACTGGGCCAAAATCATCCTTATCATCCTTGGGATGAGGCCCGAATTTGGCGGTCCTCGCCGCAGGTACTTCACCCTCACCCTCAAAAAGTTCCATCTCTGAACTACTGGAGAAAGTATTGCTGTTTTTACACTTGACACCCACCTTCCTCACATCACTACTTCCCTCTACACTCAACTTCTTCTCAGCAGTCATCACTGCACCTGCTACCACATTCTCACTCGTCATGTTCCATTTCCTCCTCAAGCTCTTCCAAAAGTTCTGTGCGATCCTCCATTCCATATTCATTCAAAACATATTCCATATCTCTCCTTTTTTTCTTGTCCATCATGTTCTCCTTCACCAGAACTTTCAGAAGGCCTCTGTAATCCCCCACTCCCTGTTTATTCATAATATGCTCCAATTTCTTCCTTATTTCCTTTTCCGCCCCCCCCCCCCCCCCCCCCCCCCCTCCATTGCCTTGACAGCAGTGTCATGACCAGTAATACATATTACCATCATGAGATTTTTAAACCCAGCCCTCTGCTACTCTCAGCCCATCCAACCTATCTCCGTAGACCACCCCCTTTTGATTTCCACACGCCATAAAATGTTTTACTGTGCTATGATGTCTCACATGAACTATGAACTCCTTTAATCGCATAGTATCCACAGATTGTACGTTAAAGATAAATATTTTTCCTAAGAGCATTATTATATTGTTGATTGATTGACTATGGCTTTCCAAATCGCCCAGCACTGCTATTTTTATTTTTTAGCCATTCCTGAACCTGTGACCAGAAACAAGCTACATGGGGACAATACCAGAATAAATTATCTAATGATTCTATTTCTTCACAGCAAAATCTGCAGAGCTGAGATTTTTGTATGCCCCATATATATAACATTCTGTTGCTGGCAAGAATTTTGTATAATAATTTAAATTGAAAATCTCGAAGTGTTGAATCAAGCATTGGTTTGTGTATCAGTTCATCCACCATGTAACAAGAATTGGTACATCAAACATTTCTTCCCAGTTATTTTGCAAACTGTATGGTTGAGCTGTCTGATGGAGTTGACATAAATCCAGTAAATTGCATTTTATGAAGACGAAAAAACATTTAGGAGGTTGTTCCTTTACATAGTGTGATACAGTAGCTGATACTTTGGTCTATCAAAATATAGATTTAAAATGTTGTAAATATTTAGACAATTATTTGTGGAAATAAAATTGAAATTGTTCCATCTTTCAAGAATCCCTGAGCTATAAAACTGCACATTTTTCTCTCTGCCCCATGGCAAAAAAATTATTTCACTAATTTTCACTTAAATATGTATTTTTGCTGGAAAATGATGGCCTAGCCACTTTTAATTATGCCCAGCCACACAGCAATTTCTGCCTACGCCGCTGGTCAGAATTGTGCTAGAATATGAAGATCAAGTGATATTGTCAGAAGTGATGACGAGCAAGTACACACAGTGTTGGGGAGAGATTAGGGTTAGAGTTAAGGTTCAAATAACTTTTGTGATAAAAAGAAAGGTGCCTTATGTCCTGTGTAGCATGGCCTGTGAGTGAGGAGGAGTGGTGATGGCCTAGGTTACTGTAACTTTTCAGCTGGGATGTGAGCTCATATCTTCCTCTAGTGTTTGCTAGGGGCCCAACACCTTTTTGGTACTGTTGGAACATTTCAAAAGCCTTCTCCCCTTTACTAAACACTGGGGAAAACATCTTGACATTAGGAATTGTCTACTGTAAATTATGGTTTATGTTCCCATGGCTCAACCCTCATATCCAACATGGACTCAGAGCATTTCATATCATTCTGTACGTAAATCCGCGACACTGCTTTTAGTATAATATTGTAGCGACCTTAACACAACACTCTTGGCGTAACGGTTAAGGCGTTGGCTTGACAGTTGCTGGACCTGGGTTCGAATCCCAGTTGGAGCTACCCCCCAAATTTGCTACATTGGTGTCAGAAGTGGGATGGTGGCTGTGGGGCCATTGGAGAGGTGTGTCCACGTGAGGGACTTGGTATAGAGAAGCGTGGGGACATGCTCTCCCAAAGGAAGGGGTTATGTAGTGATCTTAACACAACACCTAGCGACTTCATCAAGAGGTTTGGGCCTCTTGGGATAACAGATAAGGCATTAGCTTGACAGTCACTGGACCCAGGTTCAAGTTCCGGTTGGAGATACCCCCCCCAAATTCGCTTCAATATATGTTACATTTCGTATGGTGTGTATTAATTTGTGGATGTCCATCATCCATTTCGTATGATATGTTACGAATGCAAATCATATGATATGTTACGAATTTGCAATTCGTACGATATGTTCTGAATTTACTAAATGTACAATATGTTGTGAATATGCTAAACGTATGATATGTAACGAATTCCAATTTATTGTGGTTAACGTTAGCTAGAGGTGGCTAGGTAGCTAACACTATCTAGGCTAGGGGTTAGGGTTAGGAGTTAACTTAAAGGGTTAGCTAACAGGCTAAGTAGTTGCAAAGTTGATAATTAGCTAAAATGCTAAAGTTTTCTGTGATGTGATTCGAACACAACCTTTGGGTTTGCTATACGTTCACGTTATATGCCTACCCATCCAACCACCCCTCTTTTTGTTTTTATCTTGTAGCTCAGTTGGTAGAGCATGGCACTTGCAACGCCAGGGGTTGTGGGTTTGATTCCCACGGGGGACCAGTACGAAAAAAGTATGAAAATGTATGAACTCACTACTGTAAGTCGCTCTGCTAAATGACCAAAATGTTAAAAAATGTACCTTAAGTAACCTTCTTTCTTATGTAACCATACCAAATGTAACATATCATACTAATTGGAATGTCTCAGATTTACGTTTACTATGTTACGTCTAGTCTATGAGACCAGTCTGTCATATCAGATCTATCCAGTAATTATCAGATGCATCAATGCTATGGTACCCCCTCATCTTATCAGTGCCTTAGTCCTGACATATAAGGTGTATAATTGTATGAGCTGATTAAAATTACATTTAGCAAGTCGGCTAATGCAAACCTTTCATTCAGGCATTATTTTAAAAGGAAAATGATCATTTACATTTACATTTAAGTCATTTAGTAGAAGCTCTTATCCAGAGCGACTTACAAATCAGTCTCTTTCCACATGGTTAAAACCACACACTACACATTTGATAAAAACAGATACTGTGCATATAACCTGGAATTCTGAGTTAATTTCACAATGAATGTACAATCATATAACAGTACGCATGCACTGTTTCTATTGTGAACTCTATAAACTTGATTAGAACATCTGTGATTGCATACTGATCTCTATCATATTGGAGGGAAGACTAAATTAAAGGTACAATCCATTGTTGACTTTTTATTGCCAGACTCTGCGGTTCTTTAAAGGGGAGGTAAAGGCGCCATTATCCTTGCGAAGGACCCTTTGTGATCTCGTGCTTTACCTCAAGATTTCCCCCCCCGTTGTGATGACTGTCCTCACCTTGTGATATTATCTGACGCATGTACATCTATTTATTTTATGCATTTCCCAACGCCGATAAAATGAAATATATTCTGTTGTAAAACAAAAAATAAAAGTGAATAGATTTTTCGTCAGGCTATCTTCAAGGTCACCCGATTTACTCCAAATGCATTCTGGTACTGTCCCTTCTCTTGTTTCGGGAGACCCGCCGCTAAAGCAAAACCGGTAAGGATAAACTGGTGAGAGCAATTAAAGGGGAAATGTTATACGAATATAACTCTGGTTCAGCCCAATAAATGCAAAGGGGGGGTATTTTAAATATATTTAATGCAGCATATGATTACAAACTGTGTGCCAATTGCATGTATTTCGCTATTTTATTGTTACAAAGTCTGTTGTAGCACGTCTCGCATGGCGCTGTACAGGAAGGGGTTAATTTTTTCCACCGCCGACATTTTTATGCACTGCTTTCCCGGTTACTTCGAAACATAAAATGCTATTTTTCGTTCTGGTTTCGATTATTTAAATTATTAAGAATACAGTATTGTTTTTATCCGCTTTTTAACTATTGTATGAAGCCCGTTTAGTCACACAAACGATGTCCCACTTGATTAATAGTTAGCACATCAGCTAGCTAAACTCATTGATTAGCAAACAGGCTATTACTTAGCTAACGTTAGCTCTCTGGCAGGCTACAATCATGCAGCTGCATGACAGGAAAAGCTCACAATTATTGATAACAGATTGTTTTATTGTCTGTAGATAGTTAATTGATTAATATTGGTCACTTATGACTGCCGAAATTGAGTTGGCTGAAAATGTCTGGTGCATGATTTAATTTGAGCTGGCGCACACTAGCTCAACTTCACATCCTCCTCGCACTGTTTCAGGAGCGTCAAAAACGCCCCTCTCAAAGTCTAACTAGGACCCCAAGCGCAACAATTTAGCCGGAGCCATGATAAAATACAGGATCACACAGTGACGCAAGTTAGCCTGCAGCTGGGATAATATAATATTTAATGTATTCTATTTTTGTTTTTATTTAGCCATCAAATTACATGACCAGATCGACTAGTTAGGTCTGATTCTATGTCCAACGTCCACGCGTCTCATCATTGATTTATATATAGACTGACTGGAGGTGCTGTTTTGAAGCCACCCCGCCTCCATCTTGGCACTCCCCTAACGTTAAACAAATAATATATAATAATAATATTCCATTTAGCAGACGCTTTTATCCAAAGCGACTTACAGTCATGCGTGCATACATTTTTACGTATGGGAAATATTTTGGAAGCTGTAGAAAATGCATTTATTCATGTCTACATTTGTTATGCCACGTTTGTTCTATTAGACACTTTAATGTAAGCTAAACATGAAACAAACATATATATATATATATATATATATATATATAGAAACATTTCGTTTTAATGTTACTGTCCCCACTACAACAACAAAATTCTTAAATACATGTAATTTTGTCCTTGAAACATTTAATTGAATTACTGTAGAATTACATTAATTCCTATGGAGGACAGCTTCTTCTGGGTAGTGCCAATATGGCTAACCGGTGGCTCAAAGCCACTTATTGGCCAATACATAGCATCAGCAATTCAAGGTTTATATATACATCATTGCTATTAATCTGTCACTGCAAAGTGAAACAGACATGTGGATAAATAAATGGAAACTGGTCTCTGGTTGCTATGTCAGTGAGTGGTCAACAAAAGCACAGTTTTTATACTCTGATGATTTAGAGGAAAACATAGCTCAATGTAAAACCACGTTTGGGCTATGTGTTTTCTCGGCTGTACTTGTCACTTTAAACAGGTGTTTATGTTAAAGTGTATCAATGGAATAATTGTGAATTTGGCCAAAACGACAGGTAACTGCCAAAATAAAGGAAACACCAACATAGTGTCTTAATAGGGTGTTGGGCCACCATGAGCCGCTAGAACAGCTTCAATGCGCCTTGGCATAGATTCTACAAGTGTCTGGAACTCTATTGGAGGGATGCGACACCGTTCTTCCACAAGAAATACCATAATTTGGTGTTGTTGATGGTGGTGTAACGTGTTCATTGCGCTTAGAATCTCCATAGTGTTCAATTGGATTGAGACTACATATTACAACACACACCCTTTCAAACCCTCTACCATGCTATTTGCGGACCCCTCTTTCAAGTCCGCCCGGCTCCGTCGTCGGCTACGACGGTGGATTAAGCCAGGATTCTGGGCCAAGCTGATGGATATTTCTTACCACATGCCCTAGACTAACTTGCTAGGTGGCGATGTCCTAATTCTTGATTAATCTGACAGAACACACCACAAACCCCTTTAGCCCTAGCTATTTGAGACATTCAAAGTCACTGAACTCTCCTTTCTTGTAGCAAAAATGCCAACTGGAAACACATACTGTGATGGATGTTAATTGCTTAATTATCTCAGAAAACCACACCTGTGCTCACTAGCTCACAAGAACAATCAAATACTAACTCTCCTTTCTTAGACAAAATCCATGGAACAATCTGTGTGGATGGATTTATGCTACATATAAAATCGAACACGCACACACATTATCACACATGTACTGCTGCTACTTTACATTTTTACATTTACATCATTTAGCAGACGCTCTTATCCAGAGCGACTTACAAATTGGTGCAATCAACTTATGATAGCCAGTGGGACAACCACTTTTTTTTTTTATGGGGGGGGTGGGGGTAGAAGGATGACTTTATACTATTCCAGGTATTCCTTAAAGAGGAATACTTTCTCTATCCGATGCCTATTCACTTTACCCATGTCTACATGTACATATCTACCTTAATTACCATGTATCCCTGCACATTGATATGGTGTTGGTAATCCTTGTATATGGCTTTATTCTTGTTTTATTTCTTGTGCTTTTTTCATTTGTCTTATTTAACTCTGCATCGTTGGGAAAGAGCTTGTAAGTAAGCATTTCACTGTAAGGTCTACAGCTGTTGTATTTGGTGCATTTGACAAATACAATTTGATTTGATCTAAGAAGTTAACTTTTCCCTTTTATCGAGCGATTCATTTATGCTTTATTCTAGATAGGATTTTGCAACAAATTCAAGCCATTGATCAACTGATTCAGCCTTAAAGATACATAAATGCAGTCATTTTTAGTTAGATTAGGTTTTTGCAAGTTAACTCACTTTGGACATTTTTTAGTTATAACCTAATCTCCAGTAATAGCACTTTGAGGTACTAAATCATTCTTCAACACTATTGATACCAGAGGGTAAATTGTTCAAATCAAATGTCTGCATAAGCATCCACTATGCCTTTACCTTTTCAGTTTAGTAGTAGTGACACCACAACTGAATATTTCATGTTTCAAACCCTCTCTCCTTTACTCATCCCTCGGTCGTTCTCTCCTTATTCACTGTATCCTGATCCTGGATGCTAATTGTTTGAACAGAGAAGAGGTGTAGTCAGTGGCGACTCCAGCCATGTTTCTCATCCCTCTCTCCCCTTCTCCCTATCTTCTGTCCTCAGGTTATTGACTGAGGTCCCAAAGTGTCTCCAGCCATGTCTGTCAGAGAGTCATTTAACCCAGAGAGCTACGAGCTAGACAAGAGCTTCAGACTCACACGCTTCACTGAGCTCAAAGGAACGGGCTGCAAGGTGGGTTTTTCTACACCCCTGGTGTTGTGAACAGAGCGTTATTAGGGTACATCAAAGACTGGCTACTGGTATAATGGCAGTGAATAGAATGTTATTGTCCACTTAGTCTTTGCTGCTTCCGAATGTTTCCTTGCTGTGTCTCTAGCTTCAACCTTAAATCATGTTTGGGAGCAATGAATAGACATTTACTTTATTTTTTAAACTATACAATGTAAAGTGTGGTGAGTTTGAGAAAAGCACTACAAATGCAACACATTAGGATGATGATTATGCTTGACTTGTAGTTCTAAGGTAATCTGCTTGTTATTCAATAGGTGCCCCAAGATGTGCTACAGAAGCTTCTAGAAGCCCTGCAGGAGAACCACTATCAAGAGGATGAACAGTTCCTTGGGGCCGTCATGCCCAGACTTGGTATGAACACACACACACACACACACACACTTTATTCACATCCATTCTTCAGATAACTTTTACAGTTTAATAATAACTCTGTTCTTTGCAGGCATTGGTATGGACACCTGTGTCATCCCCCTCAGACATGGGGGCCTTTCTCTAGTCCAGACGACAGACTACATCTACCCAATAGTGGACGACCCCTATATGATGGTGGGTTCTCATTCTGTACCCCTCTTTGTGTTAATGTTTTCAGGTATACCTCACATGCTTTAGGTCCTATGAGTATCGTATAGATTGAGTAGTTACTGAGAGCTTTGGACTGGAGTCGTTTCTTTCACCTTGAGCAGAGTACATGTTATCTTCATTCATATCTACAGTAAATCATGTCAATAATGCCTTCTTTATACCTGTCTGTGTCTATAGGGGCGAATTGCGTGTGCCAATGTTCTAAGTGACCTGTACGCCATGGGAGTGACGGAATGTGACAACATGTTGATGCTACTGGGGATCAGTAACAAACTGTCAGAAAAGGTGCATGGCGATACACACACACACACCAATGTGTAGCACCCAGCCACTAAATAGTCCCTCCCCTGTCTCTGTGTCCCTGTCAGGAGCGGGACAAGGTGATGCCTCTAATCATCCAGGGGTTCAAAGATGCATCGGAGGAAGCAGGCACATCTGTGACGGGGGGACAGACTGTTCTTAACCCCTGGGTGGTCCTGGGGGGGGTGGCCACCACCGTCTGTCAACCCAACGAGTTTATCATGTAAGAACCCTCTACTCACAGACAGCTACCCTCCTGTCTTTCACTCTTTTGGGGATTTCACTGTTATTCAGATCTCTCTCTCGCTCTCTCTCTGAGCCTCTAAACTCTAATTGCTTTGATCATGTGAGCCATGTTCTGTGTTGTGATAGTAATGATAGCTATGGTGATGATGTGATGTCTTCCAGGCCAGACAACGCAGTGCCAGGAGATGTGTTGATTCTCACCAAACCTCTGGGGACTCAGGTGGCTGTGGCAGTACACCAGTGGCTGGACATTGTAAGTCTCAACACACTAACCTCTCCTTTGATTTACTGTATTGTAACTTAAACACTAAAATGTCAATGTAATGAACAAGGCATCTGTATCCGTCAAAAATATCAACCTGTACAGGACAGTTGGACCCAATCAAAGCTTTATCAGTCGTTGCCGTGCCTCAAAAGTGGTCTAAAGTCATGTGTATATGTGTCTGTCCCTCAGCCTGACAAGTGGAATAAGATCAAGCTGGTGGTGACTCAAGAGGATGTAGAGCTAGCTTATCAGGAAGCTATGATGAACATGGCCCGGCTCAACAGGACAGGTACACACACAGCCTGACTCAACAGAACAAGTGCCTGTCCTCAAGTAGTTCTCCCCCTTCTCTCTTTTCCTTCTCTCCTGTCTAACTTCTACCATTGTTTGGACCAATGTAATGTGAATATTGATGTCGTTTTTGTTTTTCTCTCTCCAGCGGCGGGTCTGATGCACACCTTCAACGCTCACGCCGCCACTGACATCACTGGCTTCGGGATTCTGGGCCACGCCCAGACATTGGCACGGCAACAGCGTAGCGAGGTCTCGTTCGTCATTCACAACCTCCCTGTGCTCGCCAAGATGGCCGCTGTGTCCAAGGCCTGCGGGAACATGTTCGGACTCATGCACGGCACCTGCCCCGAGACATCAGGTGCGTGTATGTTTGTGTGTCTCTGGCCGTGCATGTGTTTTTGTCGGTCTGTTGTCTAAGTTCTCTCACCTCTCTTTCACACACATACTCATCAGCCACCTCTGTCTCTATCTATAGGGGGTCTGTTGATCTGTCTTCCCAGGGAGCAGGCAGCTCGTTTCTGTGCTGAGATCAAATCTCCTAAATACGGCGAAGGCCACCAGGCTTGGATCATCGGCATTGTGGAGAAGGGCAACCGCACCGCCCGCATCATCGACAAACCACGAATCATCGAGGTCGCTCCTCAGCTCTCCACACAGAATGTCAACCCCACACCCGGCGCAACCTCATAATACCTCCCCCCTGCAATGCAGACCGGAACCACAGAGCTCGGCCGAGTTTTTTTTTGACTCATTCTAGAAAACCATCCTAGAGTGTGTCAAATGTATACACGTACACTACCGTTCAAAAGTTTGGGGTCACTTAGAAATGTCCTTGTTTTCTAAAGAAAAGCTCAATTGGTAGAGCATTGGTAGAGCATGGCGCTTGTAACGCCAGGGTAGTGGGTTCGATCCCCGGGACCACCCATACGTAAAAATGTATGCACACATGACTGTAAGTCGCTTTGGATAAAAGCGTCTGCTAAATGGCATATTATTATTATTTTGTCTATTAAAATAACATAAAATTGATCAGAAATACAGTGTAGACATTGTTAATGTTGTAAATGACTATTGTAGCTGGAAACTGCTGATTTTAATGTTATATCTACATAGGCGTACAGAGGCCCATTATCAGCAACCATCAGTCCTGTGTTCCAATGGCACGTTGTGTTTGCTAATTTTAAAAGGCTAATTGATCATTAGAAAACCCTTTTGCAATTATGTTAGCACAGCTGAAAACTGTTGTGCTGATTTAATGAAGCAATAAAACTGGCCTTCTTGAGACTAGTTGAGTATCTGGAGCATCAGCAATTGTGGGTTCGATTACAGGATCAAAATGGCCAGAAACAAATAACTTTCTTCTGAAACTCATCAGTCTATTCTTGTTCTGAGAAATGGCTATTCCATGTGAGAAATTGCCAAGAAACTGAAGATCTCGTACGAAGCTGTGAACTACTCCATTCACAGAACAGCGCAAACTGGCTCTAACCAGAATAGAAAGAGGAGTGGGAGGCCCCGGTGCACAACTGAGCAAGAGGACAAATACATTAGAGTCTAGTTTGAGAAACAGACGCCTCACAGGTCCTCAACTGGCAGCTTCATTAAATAGTACCCGCAAAACACCAGTCTCAACGTCAACAGTGAAGAGGCGACTCCGGGATGCTGACCTTCTAGGCAGAGTTGCAAAGAAAAAGCCATATCTCAGACTGCCCATCTTATTCTTTTCTTTTCATTGGCCAGTCTGAGATCTGGCTTTTTCTTTGCAACTGAATGAGTTTCAGAAGAAAGTTATTTGTTTCTGGCCATTTTGAGCCTGTAATCGAACCCACAATTGCTGATGCTCCAGATACTCAACTAGTCTCAAGAAGGCCAGTTTTATTGCTTCTTTAATTGGCACAACAGTTTTCAGCTGTGCTAACATAATTGCAAAGGGGTTTTCTAATGATCAATTAGCCTTTTAAAATGATCAACTTGGATTAGCAAACACAACGTGCCATTGGAACACAGGGCTGGTGGTTGCTGATAATGGGCCTCTGTATGCCTATGTAGATATTCCATTAAAAATCAGCCGTTTCCAGCTACAATAGCCATTTACAACATTAACAATGTCTACACTGAATTTCTGATCAATTTGATATTTTAATGCACAAAGAATTGATTTTCTTTCGAAAACAAGGACATTTCTAAGTGACCCCAAACTTTTGAACGGTTGTGTGTGTATATGTGTGTATATATATATATATATATATATATATATATATATATATATATATATATATATATATACACACACACACACACACAATTAACTGGGTTGCGGTGTATGTACACCTGCCTCAGACCGACAGAAGCCTTAGGGGCAGGTCATCACACAATGGACGCACTATCAACTAAAATAGAAAACCTCTCTAAAAAGTAAAAATCCATTTGCCTTTTGTCTGTTGTAATCTGTTATGTTTGACTGAAGAGGCAGGCAGCTTCTGGGTTTAAGAATAGATTATGATTATCCGATTCTGTTGATTCATTTAGAATCTTTAGGAGACTCTGGGTGTCCATTGCCTCTTGGGCTCTTTTTAAAGGGTGCTCGCTCTCGACAAGCATGTGTAAGAGATTTTTTTTTTTAAGCGATGGGTAGTGATATAGTGTTTTTGTTTGTCCGTTCACTTTGTGTACAGTTTAAAAACCTAGTTCTAGTTTAAAGCTGTAACCGATGCCTGGAAAGATTGAAAATCTACTTTCAAGAGGAGAAAAGTGTGCTTTTTTACTTTCACTTTTTGTATCCCCCCCCCCAAAAAAAAAAAATAAATCAAATAGATTTTTATTTTCTTGCCAGTTGTTTTACAAGAGCACTAACAAATTGATGGAATCTAAAGGAATGCATGATCAAATTGGACTCCCTCTGTTCAAATTGCTGCCTTGAACTTCAAATCAGTGATAGAATCAGTCATAACAAGGACATTAAATCCATTCTGTCATCTTACAGGCAATGAACAGAACGTCCTGGTATACTTTGGTATACTCGCCTATGGAGATGTGATCACACTGAGTAGGATGTCTCAACTCTGTTGCATTGCACACACCTACCTTTTTAATGAAGCAGGTATCATAAGAGGCAGATGAAATGGCAAGTGTTCAAGTCTTGGTTGACACTGTGCTCCATGAAAATAGTACCAGTGCATCCATCTGTAGCAGAGCTTACACCAGCTGATTCTCTGTATACTCTTCCAGTACCTAGAGGTTCCATACAATTTGTATACCGGTAGTGTACTTTTCTCAGATTTGCCAACACTGTAGTATTCCACACTATCCCAATAAATGTACAATCTGCGTCTAATCATCCTGTTTGGGATGAGTGTAGTCTTAGGCTTAGATTCAAATCAGATCGAGCATTAACCAGAATTGGCCGACATCCGCATAGCAGATGTTTTGGTTGTAACTGCGGTATGGCCTAACATATCGGTGAGCGGCTGCTTCTGTGTGTCACAAACCACTCCCTAATCCCTACCACGTTAGAAGTTCAAAACGGCGCTAGAAAGTGTAGGCTCTATCGATGTTCGAAATAATGACTCAAATGTCAAACCGTTGATGTTAGGCTAATGCATGTTTTCATGTTCATTTGGATGGGGGATTTATATACTATCAGTCTGATTTGAGTGTTTGAACTTCTTACATGGCGTGTTGCATTATAGTCGGTGTGGTTTCAGTGTATCCGATGGCAGTGTCCGCAATAAGGTAACACAAGACGCTTCTGGATTTGACAGCTCTATGCAGTTCCACCTCCGACACCGCCAAAACAACCGCTATGCAGATGTCAATCTGATTGAATCTAGCCCTTAGTACTCTACAGTCATCTGATATAAGGCCTTCTCTAATGTCTGGTACCATAAAGGGTTGTATGGCACTCTGCTTTCAAACTGAAATAAAACTGGATCTTCTCTTACACTGAAGGACTGCGTTTGTTCTCTCCTATTGTTTCTTAAAGTAGGAAGTAGCCATCTACACACAGCAACATTAAGTTGTCATTATGCCATGTAGTAACTAACCAATTTGTACACCAGAATGTAATTCCTTTGCTATACATGGCAACTGGAAATGTATGTGGTGTAGTTGGCCACACAGCTCAGTTATGAGAGTATTCATTTTTATCTGTGTCCTCAAGTCCAAAGAAGAGGTAAAACAAACAATCAACATATCCTTTATTATAATATACTCTAAACACATAAATATGATTCAGATATAACAGATTCAGATATACTACCTTATATATTACAACACTTAAATACTCAAAACAGTGGTATTTACAGGTGTACACATATACACATATTACAATCAGAAGCAAATACAGCTGCCTCTGAACTAAACAGATGCGCTGCCTATCCTTAAAAAGCTACATCACTATATCATTTTAATACAATCTAAATCATATGACTCAATGTTCTTTAAGGCCACCAAGGCATTTTGTGCTTCATTGCTCTTGCCAGAATCGGTTCAATACTATGTTAGAAATTCACTGCCATTTTATAGAAGAGATAGTGCGAAATAAAGTCAAAATGCTTTATTAAATATGTATTTCTGCAAAACAATTCCCTCCTGCTATCTGAGTAAATATCCAAAAGATCTATAACTTGACCCAGTCTAAAGCCGTTACCCAGAAGAGACTAGTCGTGACCCGCCGTTTGGGAAATAATGTAAAGTCACAGAGCATGAAAATGTGGTAGGAAGTCTATAAAGACCTTCCAGTCTGTCTACTTATCACATCTCTTTCTTGTCTTTTTGGTCGAATAGCGCACGAATGTCCAGCATGGCCTGTCGAATGTTCTGTCCAAAGCGGTACGAGTCCTACAGAGAAAGAGACAGACAGTTGTTTGACCTGATACAGATCCAGCTAGATTGCCATTAAGTTAGTATGTGAGTGCTATATACTCTATGGTTCATTAGGTTTGTGTAGTGTTACACAATGGTCTCACTGTCTCAGGGCTGGAGAACTTGCTGGAGATGTGGAATGTGATGAGGTTCTCTCCTACAATGATGTAAGAGACACCATAGCCGTCATCAGCCACCTGGGGGCGCAGGAGAGACATCAGTACCACTCACCCCTAACTCTGACTACTTCATAGAAGTAAGAAGCAGACATAGACGAAGTAACAGAGAAGGACACAATGGCAGTAGGACTTGAAAATCTGGTCCCAGCTAATTTCTTACTGTGTGTGTGTGTTTGTGTGCGTGCAGTAGACTCACAGGGCCAAACCCCCCTCCTGCCCCCACGTATCTGGGGAACTTGTTGATGTCGACCATGTTGAGCTGCTGTTGAGGAGTCTGACTAGTGGACAACCTCCAGGGCTCTGACAACACCTACACAGAGGGGGAGCGAGAGAAGGGGAGGAGAGAGAGGGATGGGGTCACTTGAGGAGATGAGTAAGCATAAATCTCTGATATCATGTCACTTGGCCTCCAAAGTATAATTTAACACATATAATGGCGTTGACTACACACACACTCAGAGAAGCGAGCTGACCTGTTTGAGGAATGGTGAGTCGATGCTGAGGTACTTGGACATGATGTAGAGACAGAAGAGGTGTCTGTCGATGCCAGAGCCTGTCATGGCCAGACGATACATGTTCTGGTGTTTGTCTGCAGCCTTCCGGAAGAGGTCCAACCTCTGGGCACTCTGCTCACAGAGACAACAACAGAGGATATTCAATCAAAACCTAGATCCAGCTAAAAAACACAACAGATAGTGCAGTGGTGGCCAACCTCCACCTGGAGAGCTACTGGGTGTGCAGGGTTTTGCTCCAGCCCTACTCAGACACACATGATTGTACTAATCAACTGTTCATCAGCACCTTGAATAGCTGAATAAGGTATGTTAGTGCAGGGCTGGAACAAAAGCAAAAAGTGCATAGCCAGTAGCTCTCCAGGCCACCCTCCTCTGGCTAGCCAGGTACAAGTTCAGAGTCCAGAAACAGACATTTGGGTCCTGGTCACCTATTTCTCAGAGTCAGAATGACCTGAGCCTCACTGGCAGAGTTACATCATGTCACTCTCTATCAGTAACTCCCATGGACAAGGCTACTGACCTACTGTGTTTAACATCAGATACAGTCAAACGTATCTGTTGAGTCCCCTGTAGCTCAGTTGGTAGAGCGTCGTCCAGGGTAGGGGAGGGAATGGCCGGCAGGGATGTAGCTCAGTTGGTAGAGCATGGCGTTTGCAACGCCAGGTTTGTGGGTTCGTTTCCCACGGGGTGCCAGTATTACATTTACATTTTAGTCATTTAGAAGACGCTCTTATCCAGAGCGACTTACAGTTAGTGAGTGCATACATTATATATATATATTTTTTTATACTGGCCCCCTGTGGGAATCGAACCCACAAACCTGCCGGCCATTCCCTCCCCTACCCCGGACGACGCTGGGCCAATTGTGCGCCGCCCCATGGGTCTCCCGGTCGCGGCCGGCTACAACAGAGCCTGGATTCGAACCAGGATCTCTAGTGGCACAGCCTTAGACCACTGCGCCACTCGGGAGACATGAAAATGTATGCACTCACTTAACTGTAAGTCGCTCTGGATAAGAGCGTCTGCTAAATGACTAAAATGTAAACGTCTGGTCTAGATCTAGCATGTATAACATGTATGTGGAAGGTGACTGTTACTGCTCTTGGGCTGTCATTAGTGCATTCTATATTGCCTCTGAAATTATTAACAAAGGCACACAGTAAGAGAGGTGTGTGTTTAAGGTGTGTTTCCTCACCTTAGTGTTCTTGTCCTCCATGGCTCTGACGAAAGCTGTGGATTCTATGGTGCAGGAGCGAACCGTCTCTGTCCTACCCTCACGGAACATCCGGGTCATCGAGGCCTCATACGTCAGACAGAACTCCCCCTTATCCTACAACACATAGACAACAAATACATTCAGTTTCATTGCTAGAGATATGATATTGTTCATCTGTTGTCTATTCATGACACACACACACACACACACACACACACACACACACACACACACACACACACACACCCTGAATTGAGCCAGCTGCAGTGCTAGCTGTATGAAGGCATCAGGACTGGTCCTACTGTTCTTGATCAGGCCTTTCCCAAACTCATCAAACAGACAGCAATGGAAGTCCACGTCATCAGCTATCTCCTTTGCAACCATGTAGGAATCCTCGATGACCTCCTGGCACTGAGGGAGGAGGAGAGACCAGAAAGGGTCAGACAAGACACAGGACAGCCTGTAGAAACTACTGACTGGTCTACTGAACACAACACTAAACTAGCTTTTACTCTTTACTAAAGCTACAACTTCTTATCCCTAACACATTAGAAGCCATACCTCCAATGGAATGTCCCATTGTAGTTTGGCGGGGGGAGGCAGGCCCTTGCTGATGTCTCCTTTGCAGTGCCCCTCCTCTGTGTAGCCCAGATGGAAGCAGTCCGTTGCTAGGACGTACTACACAGAGAGCACAGCAACCATTAGATTCACACAACACACATCCCAATGAATCACACCATGTCATATATTGTGTTTTAGAAGAACAATATTTGTAATACATCATTAATACACCATCAATAGGGCCGGCTCCAGACATAAGTGGCCGCTTAGAGCCACCGGCCACTAGAGGGCCCCCGACCCCAAAAACTCAGTCAGGGTCTCAACTTACTGTTGAGAGTAAGAATAGTAGAATACACCAGGTGCAATTAGCTGACAATTAGCCATGTACATTTTTTGATTGGTAGTTAGTCTAGCCAGCTTGTAGTAATCATGGCCGAATACCGACCGGGCACGGCGCAGGGCACGTGCCCAGGGGCCCTGACCTCCAGGGGGCCCACATAGATTTTTTAGTCATTCTCACTCAGATATCATATTAATATGACATAGTCATGGCAAAATGTGTAGAATTTTTGGAAATTAGCTTTAAAATTTCAAAAATATCTCTACACCACATGGAAAATGGTCGAATTGCAGGAAATTAGGTATACATCGTACATTTTTCTCTTCGCCGTCAATAGGGGGGCCACAACATTTTTTGCCACGAGGTGGGGGCCCCCCAACCAAATCGCCTTAGGGCCCCCAAAAGGCTAGAGCCGGCCCTGACCATCAATAATATTGTTACCTCCCACATGTGTCCTACAATGGGAGCGTCTGCCCACGCGTGTTCTGCATTGACCCCCAGTTTACCGTTCTTATAAGCGATCAGGGTGAAGGATTTGTCAAACCACCTGAGAGAGAGAAGGCATATCAGGTTAAACACTGAAACACACTCATCATAAAGGCAGTGCACAGAACAGCAATATAGCACTAAACTATCCTCACTGAAATAGGCCTACTTTACAACACATATTTTCTTCCTTCTTTCCTGTCCTGTCTCACCTGTCATAGCACTTCCCGTTTGTTTCACCTGTCATAGCACTTTCCGTTTGTCTCACCTGTCAGTATGAAAGAAAATAAAAAATGTATGCACTCACTAACTGTAAGTCGCTTTGGATAAGAGCGTCTGCTAAATGACTAAAAAAATAAAATAAAATAAAATAAAATAATAGCACTTCCCGTTTGTCTCACCTGTCATAGCACTTCCCGTTTGTCTCACCTGTCATAGCACTTCCCGTTTGTCTCACCTGTCATAGCACTTCCCGTTTGTCTCACCTGTCATAGCACTTCCCGTTTGTCTCACCTGTCATAGCACTTCCCGTTTGTCTCACCTGTCATAGCACTTCCCGTGCAGCAGGGACTTGGCGTACAGGTCCAATGATCTCAGCTTGTCAGGGTCGTAACCGTGCGCCTCGTCGTCAAGGGTGAGGAAGAAGGCTGATGTCTCGATGGCCTCCAGAGAGGCTTTGTTAACACCCTGGCTGAAGTACTTCAGACGAGCCCGCGCCCAAGGAACTCTGGGAGAAGATAAGAGGTGGCCTTTTTATTTCTGATGTGTGTGTGAGGAAGGGGGGAGGTTGCGCTTTCATGTCTATATGTGTGAATACCTGTTGCCGGCTGTGAGGGCAGCCAGTTTGAGTTCCCCAGGCTGTGGCTCTGTGGTGTCGTTGAGGATCCTCTGGAACTGAGTCTCCAGCTCCGAGGGCCAGAGGTGACGTCCCCCGTAGTACAGCCACACCTTAAAGAAGCGCCCCTTATGGTACACCACCAGGTGCTTCCGGTCACTCAGGTGCTGAACAAAGTCTGGACCAAGGAGTAGGAGAGGGGGAGAGGACATAGAAAATTATAAGGGGGTGGGGGGATGCACATGACACTCCTCTTGAATGATAGCTTTTGTCTAAGATGGTTGGAAGATGCGTCTGACACAAACTCATGTTCATATTGATTCATGCAACTACCCAGCGATAGTCTGATAGTGTTATGCCCCCAGAAGGCAGCAGTGTACGCACCTGTCTCTATGCCAGGGATACGTGTGGTGTTGAACATCCTCTCCATCTGATAGGAACACATGGGCACCACCCCCAGAGCCCTCAACTAGAGAGAGAGAGTGAGAGGAGAGAAAAGAGAGAGGGGTTACTTTAGTAGAGGGCAACTCCACGGCAACAGAATAATGGTGAGACCCTTTAAAAGTATGCCAAACAAAAACCATTGACTGCAAAGATAAACAAACCATACAAATCTATGCACAAGGACTACATTTAAAAGTTCAATGCAGCCATTTTTATCTCAATATCAAATCATTTCTGGGTAACAATTAAGAACCTTACTGTGATTGTTTTTAATTAAAATGGTCAAAAATTAACAAAAATGGCTTCTTAGCAAAGAGCAATTTCTCAAGCAAGAATTTCGCTAGGACTGTCTGGGAGTGGTCTGAGTGGGGAGGGGAAAACTGAAAACTAGGTGTTAATGGCATCCCACCAAAACAGGCTGAACTTTTAGGTGGTCTTTTCAAACAGCTCTTACACTAAAAGGGCATTATCATAATTTTCACAATTTCACAGTATTATTCCAACCATACAGTGTGGAAATATATATATCAAACACTGGGAAATCTAGTTTTTGACTACACTGGGCCTTTAACAATTTCCACAGAAGATTTTACAAAAACACATTTACGCGAAGAACAGTACAGATGTGAAGTTTGGTAACAGAATGACTGTGAAATCTTCCTCAGTTTATTAGGTGACCATGTTTTCCAAAAACTCTTAAATATCTACTCCGAGTTAAGATTAAAAGATCTTTGCAGAAAGAATGGGGTGTCAGCTATGATATGACCCCTTGAACTCCAGTAAGTGGAGTGGAATAACAGCCAGTAACAGAATGATGGTAAGATAAAACAATGGGTCCATTTCACGACACGTTTTAATCACTTAATAAATCATCAACCAAATTGTTATCAGTAAAAACACTATAACTAATTGGTAGGTCTACCTTTACTTTTTACTTCTGTGAACGTTCTTTATCCTCCCTCCTCATAAGGGAGTTTTATTTAATTTTTTTTATCTCAAAGATATGTGGGTTTTTGGTCACAGAAATACAATATCTATTAAACTTACAGAAGGCAAATAATTTCTGCAAAACTAAATATAATGTTGATATTAGTTATTGTGTTATTATGTATTTCTAATACCGTAATAATTTTTCTGCTAGAAGTTTTCTAGGACCTCTTTTCCATCTGTTTGACCAACAATCTAAGCATTTGCTTATTCCTAATTTTCAGGAGGGAAAATAGTTAGAAAATGTATATGTGCCTTCATTTTTAAAAAAATGTATACTGTTAGCTTTCATTTGACACCAAATTTGATGTGCTCCTATGATCTTCAAATGTTAGTGTTCATGGGGCTTTTTACATGGAAATGCCCTAGAGTATAAACAAGTCGAAGGCAGTGGGATGATGATTTAGGTGAACAGAGGGAGATGACCTGGGCTATTTAGGGGGTAGAGAGAGGGCCGAGGGTCAAAGGGGAAATGGGGGAGGGACCTCAATACTCTCAGGGGTACAGAGAGGGAGAGAAGGGGGGTGAGAGAGACAGAGAGAGGGGTACTCGTTACCGGTGCATGTTCTCCTCTCTCTAGTTTGCGTCGGTACTGCAGCATCGCGTGAACCACATTCCCTGCTCGAGCTGCCTGTCTGTGTGTGGGAATCACGTACAGCAGATCCTAAAGCAGATCATCAAATACATCATTAGGTAAAGGTTACTGGATACATCTCAAGCAATGCCATGTTAACCTGTATGAGTACACATATAGACATGTCTTACCATGGTGTAGAAGTTACTGTTGACCATGATGGGACTCCTGCCTCTCAGGTAGATGTACTCCTCCCACCAATCACTCACCTGTAAAACATAATCTATTACAATCATTTGTTCAACTACTATTACTTTGTTTTAAAGAGCACTTTGAGCACTCACCAAAACAGCTTAATAAATAAAGTTACGACATTATCATTTCATGTAACCTGACATCACACTTCGGAATACGTACGTAGTTAGTAGCCCACCAGGATTTGAGAATGAGGTATTTCTGGAGTTTGGGTGCCTGGTCCTTCTTGAAGTCATTGGCCACCACCTCCATCTGGTTGTACTGCTCATCATCTAGCAGGGGGCGCACTGATTCCAGGTACTGCAAGGTCACAGAGATTATATGATATAATACTGATATGTAGTGTACAGTTGATGTCGGAAGTTTACATACACTTAGGTTGGAGTCATTAAAACTCGTTTTTCAACCACTCCACAAATTTCTTGTTAACAAACTATAGTTTTGGCAAGTCGGTTAGGACATCTACTTTGTGCATGACACAAGTCATTTTTCCAACAATTGTTTACAGACAGATTATTTCACTTATAATTTACTGTATCACAATTCCAGTGGGTCAGCCGTTTACATACACTAAGTTAACTGTGCCTTTAAACAGCTTGGAAAATTCCAGAAAATGATGTCATGGCTTTAGAAGCTTCTGATAGGCTAATTGACATAATTTGAGTCAATTGGAGGTCTACCTGTGGATGTATTTTGTAAACGCAGTGCCTCTTTGCTTGACATCATGGGAAAATCAAAAGAAATCAGCCAAGACCTCAGAAAAAAAATTGTAGACCTCCACAAGTCTGGTTCATCGTTGGGAGCAATTTCCAAACGCCTGAAGGTACCACGTTCATCTGTACAAACAATAGTACGCAAGTATAAACACCATGGGACCACGCAGCCGTCATACCGCTCAGGAAGGAGACGCGCTCTGTATCCTAGAGATGAATGTAGTTTGGTGCAAAAAGTGCAAATCAATCCCAGAACAACAGCAAAGGACCTTGTGAAGATGCTGGAGGAAACAGGTACAAAAGTATCTATATCCACAGTAAAACGAGTCCTATATCGACATAACCTGAAAGGCCGCTCAGCAAGGAAGAAGCCACTGCTCCAAAACCACCATAAAAAGCCAGACTACGGTTTGCAACTGCACATGGGGACAAAGATCGTACTTTTTGGAGAAATGTCCTCTGGTCTGATGAAACAGAAATAGAACTGCTTGGCCATAATGAGCATCGTTATGTTTGGAGGAAAAAGGGGGTTGCTTGCAAGCCGAAGACCACCCTCCCAACCGTGAAGCACGGGGGTGGCAGCATCATGCTGTGGGGGTGCTTTGCTGCAGGAGGGACTGGTGCACTTCACAAAATAGATGGCATCATGAGGAAGGGAAATTATGTGGATATATTGAAGCAACATCTCAAGACATCAGTCAGGAAGTTAAAGCTTGGTCGCAAATGGTCTTCCAAATGGACAGTGACCCCAAGCATACTTCCAAAGTTGTGGCAAAATGGCTTAAGGACATTTTGTAAACTTCTGACCCACTGGGAATGTGATGAAAGAAATAAAAGCTGAAAGAAATAATTCTCTCTACTATTATTCTGACATTTCACATTCTTAAAATAAAGTGGTGATCCTAACTGACCTAAATGTCAGGAATTTTGAAAAACTGAGTTTAAATGTATTTGGCTAAGGTGTATGTAAACTTCAACTGTACATACATGGTTCTACACTGGTCCTGGTCTATCACTCTCCTAAACAAATGTGATCAGTTTCATATTGTATTTCATCCAAGCATATGAGACACATAACCACCTTTCTCACCCTGGTTATGGTGTCGTCCACGCTAGGCACAGGTAGTCTGGGTAGGGAGGCCTGGAAGCTGTAGAGGAGAGGTCTGCGCCCAGAGAACATCTTCACCAGACTCTGAGGACAAACAACACAATGACTGGGTTAATTGTCAGAATAATCAAATACTCATGGATGAGAATAAGAGCTCAGAAAATATATTGTCTTGATTCTGAGCTATGAGTGAGCTGCTCTTTTGGTCATGTTTATTTTGAAATAGAGACATTTGACAGACTTACCAGCCAGAGTTTGGTGCAGAAGCTCATTTTGCCGTGGGACTCAAAGATCCAGGTGTGGTAGGAGAGAAGGGCCTTGAGAATGTACCTCAGCATGAGGATGAGGGAGAGCCACAGCCCCGTGGCAAACAGGATGGCACTCAGCACTGTCTGGGTCTGCACTGTCATGTAGCCACTGGAGAGAGGAGAGAACATCAAACAATCTAAATGTTTATTGTCCTTCAAAAGAAAATTATTTCAACAGATAACCACAGTTACATACTTTATCAGAAAAAATATGCATCGCTCTTCCCCAAAGCCTGTTCATCATTGTGTTATTTGCTCACTGACCTGACAGGCAGGGTCCTCTTGATGGTGTCTATCATTCCCAGTGATGGGTCTATCCTGGCATACATGGTGCTCATGATGGCTATCACCGCGATCAGCCAACTGGATGGACTGGCAGGGTAGACCCCTGTCAATATCCCATTCTGAAATAAAATAATATAATTCAATGTTCATTTAGATAGTTAGACTACAAACAGACCAACAAGGCTATTCCTGGATGTGCAAGCATTTATCCCAGCCAAGCACTAGGCTTCACACACCTGATTTAATCAAGGTAACAATAATAGCTTCAATCAGTTGTTTTAGTGCTGGACTGCAACAAAAACCAAACAAGCTATCAGGTCCAGGTTTGGTAATGACCGTAGGGCTACTTAATCGTTGGAAAACAAACCTTAAATCTTATGGCACGCTTTCTCCATGACGTCACTCCCGACAGGTAGATGTGTTTGAGTACCTCACGGCTCAGGTGGAGGTCGATGCCGTCTGGGGTGACGGTGAACTGGAAGCCAACCGCCTGATGTGCCTCCGCCATCCCGGTGACGTTGAAGACTCTGTTAAGAGAGAGAGATAGACAGAGGCATTGAACTTCAACTGTTTACACACGTGAAGGTATTTTAAAATGTTTGCTATTGCGCAATTATCAAACCAAACCAACTTTAGGTGGGAATGAAGTCAACCCTTAATCAATTTCAGCTGAGAGAAACTGGGCTGCACTGCCTCCTTGGGACCCCCCCACCACCAATTTGTATATACAGTTGAGGTCGGAAGTTTACATAAACCTTAGCCAAATACATTTAAACTCAGTTTTTCACAATTCCTGACATTTAATCGTAGTAAAAATTCCCTGTCTTAGGTCAGTTAGGATCACCACTTTATTTTAAGAATAATAGTAAAGACAATGATTTCTTTAAGCTTTTATTTATTTCATCACATTCCCAGTGGGTCAGAAGTTTACATACACACAATTAGTATTTGGTAGCATTGCCTTTACATTGTTTAACTTGGGTCAAACGTTTCGGGTAGCCTTCCACAAGCGTCCCACAATAATTTGGGTGAATTTTGGCCCATTCCTCCTGACAGAGCTGGTGTAACTGAGTCAGGATTGTAGGCCTCCTTGCTCGCACACGCTTTTTCAGTTCTGCCCACAGATTTGCTATAGGATTGAGGTCAGGGCTTTGTGATGGCCACTTCAATACCTTGACTTTGTTGTCCTTAAGTCATTTTGCCACAACTTCAATATATCCACATAATTTTCCTTCCTCATGATGCCATCTATTTTGTGAAGTGCACCAGTCCCTCCTGCAGTAAAGCACCCCCACAGCATGATGCTGCCACCCCCGTGCTTCACGGTTGGGATGGTGTTCTTCGGCTTGCAAGGTATCCCCTTTTTCCTCCAAACATAACGATGGTCATTATGGCCAAACAGTTATATTTTTGTTTCATCAGACCAGAGGACATTTCTCCAAAAAGTATGATCTTTGTCTCCATGTGCAGTTGCAAACCGTAGTCTGGCTTTTCTATGGTGGTTTTGGAGCAGTGGCTTCTTACTTGCTGAGCGGCCTTTCAGGTTATGTCGATATAGGACTCGTTTTACTGTAGATATAAATAGTTTTGTACATGTTTCCTCCAGCATCTTCACAAGGTCCTTTGCTGTTGTTCTGGGATTGATTTGCACTTTCCGCACCAAAGTACGTTCATCTCTAGGAGACAGAACACGTCTCCTTCCTGAGCGGTATGACGGCTGCGTGGTCCCATGGTGTTTATACTTGCGTACTATTGTTTATACAGATGAACGTGGTACCTTCAGGCATTTGGAAATTGCTCCCAAGGATGAACCAGACTTGTGGAAGTCTACAACTTTTTTTCTGAGGTCTTGGCTGATTTCTTTTGATTTTCCCATGATGTCAAGCAAAGACGTACTGAGTTTGAAGGTAGGCCTTGAAACACATCCACAGGTACACCTCCAATTGACTCAAATGATGTCAGAAGCTTCTAAAGCCATGACATCATTTTCTGGAATTTTCCAAGCTGTTTAAAGGCACAGTCAACTTAGTGTATGTAAACTTCTGACCCACTGGAATTGTGATACAGTGAATTATAAGTGAAATAATCTGTCTGTAAACAATTGTTGGAAAAATGACTTGTGTCATGCACAAAGTAGATGTCCTAACCGACTTGCCAAAACTATAGTTTGTTAACAAGACATTTGTGGAGTGTTTGAAAAACGAGTTTAAATGACTCCAACCTAAGTGTATGTAAACTTCCGACTTCAACTGTATATATATATATTTTCCTTCAGTTTGAAAGCTAATTTCATGGAATTTTACATATTTTGCCATTGCTTATGAGGTGTTCATATGCCATCTCAGGGGCCCCGCGACACATGCCCTGCGTGCCCATTTGGTAATCCGGCCCTGGAGAGAATTTTTATTTTCATAGGCTCATGTAAACAATGACAAATAAATTGCCCCAGGCAGGCCTCTTGTAATTTTAGGGATTTGTTAAATATTTTCAAACTGTATGTGGAGGTCATAAGTCTGTTTATGTTGTGGCCCGGTTGACTGAAAAGTTTGCTTGAATTTCTTTTTCCATGTCATATGACGGGCCAGCAGCCAAGTGGAGCAAAGTTGAAACACCAATTATAGCCTAGGCTACTGGCATGCTCTCAGACGTAGGACTGGTTTAAAAATATAAACACTGCAGACTAGGAAGAGCATGTGAGGTCTACTACACCACAGACCACATAATGAAACATTTTACAAGGTGAATTCATTCAAAATATTATAATAAATAGGCTAGATCAGTGGCATAATACACAATACAGTGCCATCAGTGCCAAATTGATATTTCTCCAGTATAGCTTTATATTATGTGTCCGGTCACCTATAAGTTTAGATTTAGGCAAATTTAGTTTTTAACAATATAAACACTGAAGAATGACACGATTCATTCCCTTCAGCTAACATTTACTTTAGCAAATGAATTGTGATGATGCAGATTTCCTATGATAAACATTTGTCTAGCCTATTACACACAAATATTGTGTGGCACAAAGGGGCCTACAGAATAACTCACTTTTGGCTTGCTTTTGTTTGTCAAACATCAGAAATGGTTTCCATAGCTATCAGGTGCATGGACAGTGAGAGCACTATACCCAGCACCAGCAACAAATCCATATGGTACCTAACTATACTAGGCTACAGTATTACATACTTTAGTGTCTCAGAGTCATGGACAGCTACAGTAGCCTAAGACATTATACATTATAGCAATCTAAAAACCAAACATTCAGTAATTCCATACCTTTTTGCAAATGGATTCAATTCAAGCTTGCTGAAGTGAAACAGAAGAAGGCAGTGACTGTGGTTTCTCTCAGTGGAATTCCTCTGGACCAGGGCTGAACCTCTCTCTGTGTTCTGTGAGTGACTCCTATGCCCTTGAAGTGTCTTTCCTCAGGTACTGAGAGCAATGCTATCCCCTATGCTTTCTCCCTTCCTCCCTCTCTCTCTTTCTCTCTCTCCGTACGTCCCCTATGCCCCCCCCCCCCCCACCCCCCCTTCCAGACTTTTCTATCTGTAACTGGACACCATCTAGAGCTAGACTGTAACCTCACGTGGCTGCTGACTACATAGCGTTCAAACCCCTACAGAGTACACCTATAAATACTTGATGTTTATTCATCAATCTATTTACGTATATATTCACTTTCAGTCATGGCAACCAGTGACAAATGGTTAATTAATCATTCATAGTTATAAGGTATGTTTTGAGGCAAGTTTAATCTCTCTCTCTCTCTCTCTCTCTCTCTCTCTCTCTCTCTCTCTCTCTCTCTCTCTCTCTTCTCTCTCTCTCCTCTCTCTCTCTCTCTCTCTCTCTCTCTCTCTCTCTCTCTCTCTCTCTCTCTCTCTCTCTCTCTCTCTCTCTCTCTCTGTAAACAGTGTGTCTATGGTGGCTGTGTTATGTAATAACCCACCATGTTCCGTTTTTGTGTCACTACACCTGTGGACACCTCACTCCCTGTTTTTCTCATGGTCTGACAGGCTTTAAGCTTTAGTCAGTCAACCAAGTGTCCTGGGATTAGTTAAGATCAATGGCTTTATGTTTCAAATACGTTTTATTCTTCTTTAACCTATTAACCTATTTCACAAATACATTTGTCACAAATTGCTTATTAGTAAGTAAACCCCCCAAAAGAGTAAACAAAGGCAAAGGTTGGAAAGACAAACTCCATAGGAATTCTTTAAAAGGAAAAAAAAGAGGTTGGGAGCCCATCCTCCTCTGGGTAGAGATTTAAGGCACAGACAGATCGGTAGTATTGTCGAGTGTCTGCCGGCCGAGAGTACGTAGCACCTCTGAACAGAGTGCCGGACGTAAATTGCAAATCGAGTACAAACCGATGTAGAACCAATGTAGAAACGGGATAAAATTATTTTTATATATATGATATTACACAACGCACCGTCAGCAAGCGAACGAATGGCAAACAAATGACTTCCTACTGTACCGACAATCGTCTGGTGAGTTTTCTCCTTCAGAGTACTTTAGTTCAAGTTGTCATTAAAGGCAGAGCGAAAGCATGGCAAGGCTTATTGTTGCTGACACAGAATGGTACTGTCCTCATGTAGCAAAGATCCACCTTGACGATGAGTCTGCGTTTTTCCAGATGCGCTCAACTAAAATCTGGGCCTGAACCCCAAACAGAGCAAGCCAAGGCAAATCAGATTGATTGATGAAAGTTTGTGTCAGAAGGAGAGGTGAAGTAGGGCTTCATAGCGGGTGCAGATGGGTAGAGGAGGGAGGACAGTGAGAGAGAGGGAGTGAAGATCCAGCGTTACAGCAGCGTTGTGTTCTATACCTGGCATGTACACCTGGTCACCCAGCACTGTCCCCTGTCCAGCTAACGCCACCTTCTCAGCCCCTTCCACCTAGGACCAGATACGGGAGGATTAGATAGGCCTATGGCATTAAACGCAACTTCATATCATTCAAGAGAACACTCAGGTGGTGGTCTCACCTGCCCCCACTGCCCAGACTGATGCCACCACATTCTCAGAGTTATTTCCTCCAATCACAAACAGCCGGTCGGTGGTGCCAAGGAAGTAGAGGCTGGGAAGGTCAACAGTGGCTTTGGTTTGGGTAGGGAGCAGCTCAGACCACAAGTCTGGGAAAGAGAGAGAAAACAGGAGTATGTGTGCACGTACGAACGTGTGTGCATGTGTGTGTCTGTATGTTAGGGGGTCCAAGGCTGTTATTCATTAGACTGCAGCCTGCAATTGACCAACATGTAAGGTTGAAAGGAACAACTCCACTCACTACCTGGATTGAGACAAGACTGTTTTACCTCGCCTGGGGTCATACTGTAGAAGCAGCTTTTCTCCAGTCCTCTGGATGTTCCTCAGGACATAGAGACAGGGGCCCAGGCTGGTGGCCAGAGGCAGGTCATGGGACAGGAACATGGTTAACTGAAAGTCAGTCAGAGGCAGAAAGGAGACAACAAACCTGCAGCAGAGCACACACACACACACACACACACCTATGGTTGGACAGAGTCAGTTAACTCAAGTTCACTTTTTGTAATTTTAGTACACACATCTTTTTGTTATTGTGATTAATCGCATTGTCTGAAAGTGTTCAAAATACACTGAAAACATCCAAAATACAGAATCTATACAGCTAGAAACCACAATGTGATGTCCAAACAAGCTGACATTGAGGTTAAAGAAAGTGTGCTTTATCAATTTACCTGATTTTGCTTACTGTTACTTTCGACAAGCCTGCAGGTAGCTGCCCATCTCCAGAGCCAGACACAGAGAGAGAGCATTGCAACATTATAAACATTACAACATTACAAACAATAAATTGCTGGTGCTATGTGTGATCTGCCAGCCTGGGCCAGATGAATTTCCATGAGTGGAAAATAAGGTATGATATATGAGGAATAAGACCCACTTGGATGTGTTACATTTTACATTTTAGTCATTTAGCAGACGCTCTTATCCAGAGCGACTTACAGGAGCAATTAGGGTTAAGTGCCTTGCTCAAGGGCACATTTACGTCATTTAGCAGACGCTCTTATCCAGAGCGACTTACAAATTGGTGCATTCACCCTATAGCCAGTGGGATAACCACTTTACAATTTTTTTTATATATTATTATTTTTTTTTGGGGGGGGGGGGGGGGGGGGGGGGGTAGAAGGATTACTTTATCCTATCCCAGGTATTCCTTAAAGAGGTGGGGTTTCAAATGTCTCCGGAAGGTGGTGAGTGACTCCGCTGTCCTGGCGTCGTGAGGGAGCTTGTTCCACCATTGGGGTGCCAGAGCAGCGAACAGTTTTGACTGGGCTGAGCGGGAACTATGCTTCCGCAGAGGAAGGGGAGCCAGCAGGCCAGAGGTGGATGAACGCAATGCCCTCGTTTGGGTGTAGGGACTGATCAGAGCCTGAAGGTACGGAGGTGCCGTTCCCCTCACTGCTCCATAGGCAAGCACCATGGTCTTGTAACGGATGCGAGCTTCAACTGGAAGCCAGTGGAGTGTGCGGAGGAGGGGGGTGACGTGAGAGAACTTGGGAAGGTTGAACACCAGACGGGCTGCGGCATTCTGGATGAGTTGTAGGGGTTTAATGGCACAGGCAGGGAGCCCAGCCAACAGCGAGTTGCAGTAATCCAGACGGGAGATGACAAGTGCCTGGATTAGGACCTGTGCCGCTTCCTGTGTAAGGCAGGGTCGTACTCTCCGAATGTTGTAGAGCATGAACCTGCAGGATCGGGTCACCGCCTTGATGTTAGCGGAGAACGACAGGGTGTTGTCCAGGGTCACGCCAAGGCTCTTCGCACTCTGGGAGGAGGACACAACGGAGTTGTCAACCGTGATGGCGAGATCATGGAACGGGCAGTCCTTCCCCGGGAGGAAGAGCAGCTCCGTCTTGCCAGGGTTCAGCTTGAGGTGGTGATCCGTCATCCATACCTCTGATAGGAGAGGCCATGTGAGGATATGACAGAGCCAAGTGACTTGGTGTATAGGGAGAAAAGGAGAGGGCCTAGAACTGAGTCCTGGGGGACACCAGTGGTGAGAGCACGTGGTGCGGAGACAGCTTCACGCCACGCCACTTGGTAGGAGCGACCGGTCAGGTAGGACGCAATCCAGGAGTGAGCCGCGCCGGAGATGCCCAGCTCGGAGAGGGTGGAGAGGAGGATCTGATGGTTCACAGTATCAAAGGCAGCAGACAGGTCTAGAAGGACAAGAGCAGAGGAGAGAGAGTTAGCTTTAGCAGTGCGGAGAGCCTCCGTGACACAGAGAAGAGCAGTCTCAGTTGAATGACCAGTCCTGAAACCTGACTGGTTTGGATCAAGAAGGTCATTCTGAGAGAGATAGCAAGAGAGTTGGCTAAAGACGGCACGCTCAATAGTTTTGGAAAGAAAAGAAAGAAGGGATACTGGTCTGTAGTTGTTGACATCAGTGGGATCGAGTGTTGGTTTTTTGAGAAGGGGTGCAACTCTCGCTCTCTTGAAGACGGAAGGGACATAGCCAGCGGTCAAGGATGAGTTGATCAGCGAGGTGAGGTAGGGGAGAAGGTCACCGGAGATGGTCTGGAGAAGAGAGGAGGGGATGGGGTCAAGCGGGAAGGTTGTTGGGCGGCCTGCAGTCACTAGTCGCAAGATTTTATCTGGAGAGAGAGGGGAGAAAGAAGTCAAAGCATAGGGTAGGGCAGTGTGAGCAGGACCAGCAGTGTCATTAGACTCAACAAACGAGGATCGGATGTCGTCAACCTTCTTTTCAAAGTGGTTGACGAAGTCATCCACAGAGAGGGAGGAGGGGGGGGGGGGGGGGGGGGGTGGGGGGGAGGATTCAGCAGTGAGGAGAATGTGGCAAAGAGCTTCCTAGGGTTAGAGGCAGATGCTTGGAATTTAGAGTGGTATAAAGTGGCCTTAGCAGCAGAAACAGATGAAGAAAATGTAGAGAGGAGGGAGTGAAAAGATGCCAGGTCGGCAGGGAGTTTAGTTTTCTTCCATTTCCGCTCAGCTGCCCGGAGCTCTGTTCTGTGAGCTCGCAATGAGTCATCAAGCCACGGAGCTGGAGGGGAGGACCGAGCCGGCCGGGAGGATAGGGGACACAGGGAGTCAAAGGATGCAGAAAGGGAGGAGAGGAGGGTTGAGGAGGCAGAATCAGGAGATTGGAGGGAGAAGGATTGAGCAGAGGGAAGAGATGATAGGATGGAAGAGGAGAGAGTAGTGGGAGAGAGAGAGCGAAGGTTGCGGCGGCGCGTTACCATCTGTGTAGGGGCAGAGTGAGTAGTGTTGGAGGAGAGCGAGAGAGAAAAGGATACAAAGTAGTGGTCGGAGACATGGAGGGGAGTTGCAGTGAGATTAGTAGAAGAGCAACATCTAGTAAAGATGAAGTCAAGCGTATTGCCTGCCTTGTGAGTAGGGGGGGACAGTGAGAGGGTGAGGTCAAAAGAGGAGAGGAGTGGAAAGAAGGAGGCAGAGAGAAATGAGTCAAATGTAGACGTAGGGAGGTTGAAATCCCCCAAAACTGTGAAGGGTGAGCCATCCTCAGGAAAGGAACTTATCAAGGCGTCAAGCTCATTGATGAACTCTCCAAGGGAACCTGGAGGGCGATAGATGACAAGGATATTAAGCTTAAATGGGCTAGTGACTGTGACAGCGTGGAATTCAAATGAGGAGATAGACAGATGGGTTAGGGGAAAAATTGAGAATGACCACTTGGGAGAGATGAGGATTCCTGTGCCACCACCCCTCTGACCAGATGCTCTCGGGGTATGCGAGAACACATGGTCAGACGAGGAGAGAGCAGTAGGAGTAGCAGTGTTTTCAGTGGTAATCCATGTTTCCGTCAGCGCCAGGAAGTCGAGGGACTGGAGGGTAGCATAGGCTGGGATGAAGTCAGCCTTGTTGGCAGCAGAACGGCAGTTCCAGAGGCTGCCTGAGACCTGGAACTCCAGGTGTGTGGTGCGTGCAGGGACCACCAGGTTAGAGAGGAGGTGTTCTCCCAGCTCCTCCTGGGGAACGCTGAAGTCATTCCAGAAGCAGAATTCTAGGAGGGAGTGGAAGACTGAGAAGGGAATGTGGTCCAGGAGAATCAGTCTCTCTGAGATCTCTCTCATACTGGACTGGGACAGGGCTTTGAAGTACTCGTTACAGTCCGACAGACGACCCAGGTTTACCTTATACACACAGATGGAAGAACAAAAAAACACAGATGGAAGGTTAGCTTTGTCATTATGCCAAACTATGGAAAAATGCTGCAAAATGTCTGATGGGACACTCTACATAATGGAGAAGTGAGGTGTATCATTTCTGAAGGCAATGCAGGGATGATGTGATGACATACAGTAGCTGTTAACCTCCGTAGAAGGCATATGTGCTGGTCTGGACTGTAACCATGACTAGCTTCCATCTCCATGGTGATAGGTATGATATGCCTCATTGGTCTGCCACTCCTCTGACACCCTGTCATACAGTCCTTCACCTGAGTCGCCTGGTGATGTCAGCCAGGTGTGTGGCACAGAGAAGGGCGTTCGCCACACCCTTTCTAAAGCATACTTCAACCACCTGCTGATCCACAGCAGCACAACTGTCACATACTGTCTGAGAAGACTCATCATACTGAGGAGACAAGATTATTTACTAAGGGTGCGTTCGTAAGTTGCCTACAATGTGTCAGAGTGCGCTCAGTGTCATTGGTAAATTCAGAGGGTTGTCAGATTGCCTGTTCGTAAATTCAGAGCATTTTGCTTTCTGAGCTTTCATAGCGCCAACTGGATGCTCTGGCCGAGGAGTAGGGTTGATCCGAGCATTGACCTTACAACGGCAGTCAAGCACCCAAGCTAACTGGCTAAAGTTGGCTAGCTTGCTAGCTACTTCCAGACACAAATGAGAGAACACCTCATTCTGACCATTTTATTCACCCTAGCAGAGCTGGTTAGGCTATTTTCATGTTATCTAGATTGTTAGTGACTGTAACTGTGCTGTTGGGAACAATTTAATTAGATTTTTACTGACACCAGTCATATTCAACGGGTGTTGAACGTTCGTAAATTCATCAGTTATTCTGCGCTCTGGCACACTCCGACGAGAGTGCTCTGAAATCGGACTAGCTAGCCAGAGTGAATTTACAAACACACCCTAATATTAAAAGGGAGTTACTTCATCCATCTCATGAATCTATCTTGTACAGAACTTTCTCTCTCAAAACAGTGTTGGGACTAGTCAAAATAAATCTGCATAATTCTTTGAAGAATTATGTAATACATTTGAACAATTATGGTACTCCCCATATCCCCTACCTTCTTTGCACTGAAAGTAAGGAATAGATGTAAGTGATATAGTGAAACTACCACCTAGTTAAGAGGTGCAGCTATTGACATATTGAATATCTCTCCAATCCTTGCAGACTGGCATGAAGTGCCTTGAAGCCAGGGATCAATTTGAAATGGACCAAGTCTGCAAGTCAGAAATAGGACTTCCCTAAATCTGTTATGAATTGTACCATTAGGGGGAGCTCCGGTTCCTGAAAATGTATTGCTATTCTACAGTATAGATATAAGATATAAATAACTGTTGCCATACCATTCTATTGAATTTCTAATCATCAATAAATGAAGACATATTCAATCAGCATATTTATTAGCAGTTCAGTTATAATACTTACACATCAGCTTTTGGACAGGATTGAGGTGTAATGAAAGAAAGTTACTTAATTTAGCTAGTTGATGAGGCACTGGCTTCTAAACTAGGCAGTTTCATATGCTAGCAAATCGAACATTGGCCTACATCCACAGCATACATTCTAATTCTGATATTATACCAAAGGTAAAGTAACAGGTCATACTTTATTATAACTCACATCAAAACAAAAGAGCACTTCACTCCGCAAACAAATATACTAAATAAATTATAACAAATTATACTAAAAAACATTTTCACGTGTTCAAATGATTGCCATTCCAAGGAAAAAAATACATTTCTTTCAACATGATCCCATTTTCATAATCTTTGGATCTGAATACCAAAAGCATGCAGATATTACATTTGGTTTTAATAATATGTTAGGCAGACACACACAGGAGCCAAATGCACATTTACATCAGATACAAAATCTGTTGTTCAAAGTTATGGACAGCTTTCTTTAACCATTGTGGTTCTTGGTCTGAAATGGAAAAGAACAAACATCCAAACCTTGGGCATAGTCAAACCGTGACAGACAGTTCTATACCAGTTTACTAGTAATGGAACAGCTTTAGAATGAAAGGTAAACCTAGTCAGAATGCAATGACATCATAAAAGCCAGACAAAAGCTATATATAAACAGAGATGATTATTTTCATGAGCTGCTCTCCTCTGAGAAGTGTAGTGCAATAAGCTTTCATTGTCTATAATCAAAACATGTTCCTTTTTTAATCATTTAGTTTCATGCCTACATTTGCTTGTTTGTCATACAAACATAAAATGTGTAAAATGACCCCCATTGTTGTGAAGAGGTAGAATGACACTAGAGACTTAAAACATACGACGCCTCCTGCCAGCCATGTTGGAAGACCACCGCATCAATTATTCTGACAACAGCTGAGTGGCAACCCCAAGCTGCATGATAAAAGTGCCTAAAACTACTTGGTTCATCACCATGGTCAATTTCTGTGCTGTATTTGGCAGCCAAGACACAACAAACTGTAGCTGAGAAAACAAATTGCCTTGCTAAGAAACAATTTGCTGTGCAATGCAGTGTACATGTTCACAAACAGCCAGCAGGCTGCGCCATTCTTCCACCACAGTGACTGGTCTTCCAACATGGCGCCTGGTGTGGTTGCTAGGTGATTTCTGACAACTGCAACCCCTCTATATATAGTTTGAATAGAGAGAATGCTAAAACAGACAGGTCATACATGGAGTTTAAGCCCAATTCAATCAGAACCCGTTATAGAGAAAGGTAAAAAACAACATCCTGTTTAAGAACATATTTCACTTACTATGCAATGGAGCATGTGCTTTTTTCCACAGGGTTAATATTTTTATGAATAGGGCCATCAGTCTGTGTTCCCTACTGTACTACAAAGCAACAGAACTACAGTATGATCAGAGTTCTGATATGCAGCTTGATTCTCTGCCATGCTGCATTGTGTCCATGCACAGAACAGACATTTAACAAACAAGTCAAGGAAATAAAACAGACGGCACAAAATGAGCATATTTCGACCCTGTTGTCAAGGGTGTATTGAAGTACAACAATCAATTAAATTACGATGTGGGGTAAAAAAAGAAGCCGAGTTGAATGACTGTAAAAGAAAGCACATGACTACAGAAGAATCTGACTACAGGTTTTGAAACATAAATGTATGGAACCAGTAGATGGTAACTAATGTAAACATGCTTTTTTGCTGTGCATTTTCACAGAATTTCACATTTCATAGTAGGGGTGGATAAGTGCATTTTGTTGGATTGCAGCGAAGTCCCTGCTTCACTGTTAATTGTCTCAGGCAGAGCAACGTATTGGATGCTACTAGATGGACAGGGTCGTGGTATATTATAAATATCAAGTTCAAACAATGGATCATTTTGTAAAAAGCCACCTAAGACTCTTCAGTGGGCGTTTTTACCCCTTATTTGGTTTGGTTTCAACACTTAACAAATCTGCCTAGCTAATTATGTTTCTGCTATGTTACCATCAGGACAGTTGCGTACAGGAATAATAATAAAAATGACAGTACATTCCATTGAAGTCAATCTGTTCTTTTAACGATTTAGGAAAATAGCTTTTTCTGCTTGAAGTAGGCATCAAATCGAGACTGGGCATAGTCCTGAAACGACAGAAGTCAAATGAACAGGTGTAAACTTTGAGACGGATCATGTGTTTTGGAAGCACTGTTTATCCAGGTCATAGAACAACTCACTCCGCAAATAAACAGAGAGACAGGGGGAGTGACCATAAAACACCTACAATGTCATGCGGATGACATTAATCGATGTTCCAGTATGCTGAAGCTCTATTGTATTGTTTCATTCTAGTGAGGTGAAGTCTATCTCACCATGTGAAGTAAAGTCTACTAATGTACTTACCATGTATCCAAACTCGATCTTGGATATCGTGGCTTGAATGATAGACCACAGGCCCCAGAGGAAGTGAGATGCCAGGGCAAACCTGTGGAAAAATCACTCAACCCTAAATTAACTGCCAACGGACTGGCTACTTACTGTACATGTGGATACAGTAGCAGTGAACATTTCATACCAAAATCAATGCTGGTTAGACATTTTCAAAAGCAAGCACCACCTTGGTGGTGGTAAAGGTGAGTTTTCCCTCTTATTATGTAAAGCACTTTGAACACCTAGGTGGAAAAGCGATATATAAATCCAATCAATTATGATTATTATTACAAAACAGAGCACATATTGTAGACTACTTTTAAGGTTAGAAAATCAATCTTTGATTTATGAGTGAACTGTCCATTTTGGATTAATCTGTGGTAGAAGTCTGTGTCCTACCGATTGGCTTCGATCAGCATCTGCTGCTCTATTCGAGCTTGGTCCTCGTGCATGGTGCTCTCTGAATAGCCTCCCGTCTCCACCAGGTAGTTACGGATGAAATGCAGCTGCAGAGATAAACACACTCGCTCAGAGAAGAGGGACGCCACATAGACTTAATCTATAAATGAAGTTCCCTGGCTTGTATCAATAACTTGAAAATAATGCATTGGCAATTGTGTCATTGTATTAGACCAGCTGACTTCATGAGTTCTGGAAATGTGCATGCATAGTTTTGTTTCCACTAGATGTGGTCAGAAAAAGACTGGACAGACATACAGTACGTCACACACTGAGGAAAAATAGATATACACTGAGGCTACTGGTAGTGTGGTTGGTTAAAAAAGTTACACTAGCTACAGTGTGTTTATTTGAATAATGCTGTAAGATTGGGATACCAACAGTGAACGTGACATGTTGTGCTCATCGTAAGGATTTCTGTGGTGGAATCATGAACATGTCATAGTGACTGATGACAGACAATGGGTATGTTTGAGTAGGCTAACGAAGCCGACTGTAGACAGTTGATGAGTGAAGTCGGGGCAGGTGCATCTGCGACAGCTGAAAGTCGGACACTGTAGTGGTTTTCCAATTGCAAGGCTCATATCAACATGGCAGTGTTAACATAGCTGCTATTGTTTAAAGGTTTTTCTTTATTAATGTCGTAATAAAAGTTTTTATATCCCTATATCACACACTCACAAACTGAAAACTTAAGTGTACAATTAATTGGTTAGAGAGAGATCTCAAATATCACACTAATTTGTATCCCCTGTACCTTTAGAATAACGGCAAAGTTGGTTCCTGTTTCAGTCAGGTAATGTTTGCATGGGTCAACCACAATCTAATTATTGATTGACAAATAGTGCCTCTCACTAGCCAGGCGATGGCTGTACGGTGCAGTTGGTGAGAAGCAACTGCAGCAACTTGAAGGCGACTTCATCAAAAACATTTACAAAAAACATGTGCAGTTGACATGTAGGTACAAGTCAGACAATTTTTATCCCCATAATACAACACACTTTTAAAAGGCGGTGACTAACGATGGTAACCAAATAGACAAAATGGATCTGCTCGAACGCGCCCATTGATCTAGAAATTATCACTTTACCTAAAATTCACCTTAACTGCATTCCTTTGTATGGATGCTAACCTTTGCATCACACTCCTACCAGAAGAAAGTCAAGAGAGAAATGTCATACTGATAGTTCATAGGGAGAAAAGGGAGAGTGTGATAATGGGGAGAAGAAGTATGCATGAGAGAAAGTGGCTGTGTCCAAATACCCATACTTGCGTCCTAAATAGTAGGCCGTTTGAGTATGCGAAAATAGAAAGTTTAATAGTATGCCACATTTAGAAATGCCACACTTTAAATGCCCGGATGTCATACTCATTTCGGCTTTGAAAAGTGTTTCTTGTTCTCTTGGCCTTCGTCAGAGCTTTTAAACTAAATGCAAAACCATCTTTTGATTTCTGAATGTGTCGGCCCCGGGACTCAGGATTTGGCTGCGTTATTGATGTCATGGTAATCAGGCGTTTTGATTTGAACATATGGATTGTTTTAGTTTTGTAGGCTAGGCTACCCATTTAATTATTTAATTTATGGATCATGCCTTAGCAGTCATTCTGATCCCAATAATCAGTGCTTTAGTGTATTATGTTGCTGTCCAGCGGTTCTGAATTAGCGATTCACCTGACTGTCCACATTGTTCTGTGCAATAGCCTTTTGATTTGAACATTTAAAAAGTGTTGGTGTGTGTACTAGGCTATTTGATTTAATTTATATATGTTACAGCACTTTGGTTTCACTAATAAATCATGTTGAAATGGAACCAAATTATCTGTTTCAGTCTTCAGTTCTTTTTAAATAGGATAGATGGGCTATGGTATAGGTTGAATGTGATGCCTATAACCAGCCTGAGTAGGCATATAACTCTTCCTATTCTATTCAGAGTTTACAGAAATGTATCGAATTGGAAATGAGCTATTATCAGACTGGTTAATGCGATGCATGTCTATCGAATTTGGAAAAGTCCACCAGCACTCTGCCCTATCCCACCTACTCAAACAGTCAGGAGCCACTACTGCGTTACGGCCGTGGCATACTGCATACTTTTTACTAAACGATACCTGTTAAATAGTATGCGAGAATGAGTACATAGTATGCAGTTTAAGTATGTAGTACGCTAGCATGGGTATTCGCACTCGGCCACTGTGTTTGCATGATGTTGGAGGGTATTTTGATATACAATAGGTGTGGTAGAGGTTGTAGTCACCTGTTGTTCTCTGCTGGGGTAGTTGTCAGGTGTACACTTGTAGAAGGGCCACTGGTTGTATGTGTAGTCATAGCACCACTCACAGAAGTGGTTCCCAAAGTCAAAACCCCTAAACAAACAACAAACACATTGCAGCACAATCTAAGATGACAATCATAAAGAAATTGAGACAATCGCCGCTACATATGGATAGCATAGTACTTAGACCTGTCCCTTTTACTTGTAGAGACATACTTTAATCAATGCTGTTACCACCAAGCTGTTTGTGCCTTTGATTGGCGGCAGGTAGCCTAGTGGTTAATAGCATTGGGTCAGTAACCGAAAGGTCGCTGGTTCGAATCTTGGAGCCGACTAGGTGAAAAATGTGTTGATGTGTCCTTGAGCAAGGCACTTAACCCTAATTGCTCCTGTAAGTTGCATTGGATAAGCGCGTCTGCTAAATGACTAAACTGTAAATGTAATTGATGTACAGTATATGGGGCTATAAGCATTCCTGTGTAGTTGTAGCTGAGTGTGTGTGGTTATAACCCTTTTACCTGTAGTTTTAATTAGGGCTGTCAAATGATTAAAATTTTTCATCAAATTAATCAGAATTTTCAGTGGATTAATCATGATTAATCACTATTTGCAATTACACCTGAATCCTAACCATTTTTTTTCTGAAATGCATACCAAAAGATAAAATAACAGGACACAGATACATAATTTACATATTATGTCTGTTTATTAACACAGCCAAATAATGGTGTTTTAAATCAAGCTGAAACATACTACACACCATAATATTTGTCTTTGGCTGTGGCTCTTGACGGTGGCTTATAGAATGAGTCTTGAGACGCCACTTGCAAAACATCAAGGAAACCTGAGTCTTCTACAATGCTAATGGGTCTACAATCCTTTGCAATCCATTTTGCTATTGTGTTGGTCAAATTATCTGAGGTTGATTTTGTTAATTGCCTGCAAACATTCAGCGTGGTCTGGCGCAAACCACTTGCTGAATCTGACGGCCCAGCAAACGCATGTTTGGCGTTGACATGGTACTTCAAGCTTGAACAGCTCCGGTGAAATTGAAACTCCTTCTTACAAATCTTGCAAATAACCTTGTACTTGTTAACTGTACCATCATCATTCTTTTTATATTTGAATCCGTCAATAGGCCCACTTTGCTCACCTTGCTCCATCTCGCCTCTAGCTCCCAACCACTTTCCTGACCTGAATAATTTGTCACACTGCGCATGCGTGAAATGCGTTAAAAAAATTGACGTAATTAACAGCAAACAACTAATTAACGTTGTTAACGCGCTATTTTTGACAGCCCTAGTTTTAATTGAGTGTTTATGTATACAAAGGCCTTTACCTGTAGTTGTAGCTGCTGTACTCAAAGTCTATGAGCATGAGTTTCCCAGAGGAGGTGCGGTCTCTGTCCTCCAGCATCAAAATGTTACCTGAGGACGAGAGACAGGAGGTTACAACACTCCCACTTCCCCCTCGAGAGTTCAATAGCACTGTACATTCAGAGTGTGTCCTGATGTGCACTTCAGGAGTCAACTGTAAGTATACATAGGCAATCTACGGCCACCACCTCTACCATCTACTCTATTGGTTGACTTGCCTGAGGGTATGTTGCATACGAATGTGATCAGTCTCTAAAAATAGATACCCTCCACCCCTTCTTTCTCGAACTTATGTAATATCCTGTCCTTGCAGGAAGTGACGGACATCCACTGTTGAGTCAGGGGGAGGGTCAAGCAGCCCAAATTAGAGGTGGGAGGTTTAAAGTTAATATGGTTAGAGGGGAGAGAGAAAGACAATGAGGGGAGAGAGAGAGAGAGAGATGGGTAGATAGAGTGAAGGGAAGAGAGCACAAAGATAGACCTTTACCTTCTTGCACATCATTATGACAGAACACCACTGGAGATGGGGTCGCTGCCAACAACACGCTGTCAGAGAGGGAGAACTGTTTTATCTCATGAGAACATGACATTAATATATTATGTACACACTTCAACTTTCAGTGAACTTTAAGGGGCAGAGGTTATGGTACATTTCAACAGCTCATTATTTATGTTATCACCCTGTACAATATTTAAAAATATATGTTTTATTGGAGACAAAGAGACTACGGAATTACATAACACACATTCCCTTTACTATATGGAAGACCCGATTACTCCCTTCACTATTTCAAGCACATGATCATGATGGTAGAGTAGTTACGGGGAAGCAGTGAGTACTGGACACCATGGCATAGCAGGGTAGTAACTATGTAGTGGGATTGTGCAATAATGGCATGTCCTGCATGCCTCTCTCTGACTCTCCAAGGGTAGCTCAATAGGAAATGAAGGTTGTAACAGCAAATCCCTGACAGGGAGAGAAATACGTGATTGTGATATTTGTGATTGAGCAGCCATGTTCAGAATGCAGGTCCTGTAAGATATGTTGATCTATGCTCCTGATATAATCACAGGTAGATATACAGAAGATAGTCTCAACCACACTAACATTAGGCAACCGTGGCTGTGGCTGTAGGTGTAGATACAGTCCCCTCCGTAAGTATTGGGACAGTAACATATTTTTTGTTGTTTTGGCTCTGTACTCCAGCACTTTGGATTTGAAATGATACAATGACTATGAGGTTAAAGTGCACTCTCAGCTTTCATTTTGGGGTATTTTTTATCCGTTTAGATATTACAGCACTTTTTGTACATAGTCCCCAATTTTAGGAGACTAAAAGTATTGGGACAAATTCACTTGTGTGTGTAGTATTCAAGTAGGCAAAAGTTTAGTATTTAGTCCCATATTCCTAGCACGCAATGACTACATCAAGCTTATGACTCTACAAACTTGTTGGATGCATTTGCTGTTTGTTTTGGTTGCGTTTGACATTATTTTGTACCCAATAGAAATGAATGGTAAATAATGTATTGTGTCATGTTGGAGTCACTTTTATTGTAAATAAGAATAGAATATGTTTCTAAACACTTCTACATTAATGTGGATGCTACCATGATTACAGATAGTCCTGAATGAATGATGAGTGAGAATGTTAGACGCACAAATATCATACCCTCAAGACATGTTAACCTCTCACCATTACAATAACAGGGGAGGTTAGCATTTTTTGGGGGGTATGATATTTTTTAATATCGTATAATTTACAATCCAAAGTGCTGGAGTACAGAGCCAAAACAACAACAAAAAATGGTCACTGTCCCAATAATTACGGCGGGCACTGTATGTGGTAACACTTAGAGTAACTCTACAACTAAACTATTACAAAGCAATTAGTAGCTACTACATTGACATGTAGATACACCATGAGTCACTAATGATATAACAAAGCTGTACAGATGTGTATAATATTGGTCCAGGTTGCTGTTAAGCATGTGATAAAATGTGACTGGTTGACTGAAAGCACCTTGACGTAGTAGAAAACTATATGAATGTGATCTATCATTATTATTAGATCAGGCGACCTTGAGGTGTGTAGGGGACTGGCTGCCAGACAGTAAGGGCACACCATAGACTTAGATAGACATCTCTAGTGCCCAAAAGCACGTTTGAGCATGGGCAGAGCCATTGAAGACTTTCAACATTTTGAAGTATTTTACTCGACTTCCTATGGGTTACGGAAGGATCAAATAATTCCATCCAGGTCATTAGGAAGGATCAGCCAATTCATTATACTTGTGAACGAACATTCCATAACGGCAGTACATTTCCAACCTTTGCTTTATACCTGTTCAAACAACACACTCCAGAGTGGTGTACTACAAAGCAAGCTAGATCTACTCAGGCTTTTATAAAGCTAGCCAGCTTCAGTTAGCTTCACATTCCAGGTCAGGCTTCATCTGTACTACGACGGTGGATATTGCTCTTCCGGCTGCCGCTAACTCTATCAGGCTTGTAACTGCACGTGCATGTCGCACATGGCTAGTCAAACGCCAAACTCTTCATTGAGACAATGCTGAAACGTCAATCCATGGGCGAGTCAGTGCCACATTTTCATTTGTGCAGATATCAAAATTAAAGAAAAGTTATTTTGCTAATTCAGCAGGCTATGGTGTAAAATAGGCTTTTATGTGCCGTCCTTATTTATTGTTAATGCCGTCTTTGGTGTGCTTATCAAACAATGAGCACCTTTTTCCCACTCCTATTGCTCCTTCTTCTATCTTTGGAACATCTTATTGTGTTGTGGTCATAGACATATAATCCATAGAAGGGTTTTGGAACCTTCATTTGACTGTTAAACTCATGGGTACACTAGCAAAGGCTGCCAGTCTTGAGTTGAATGGAAACTGCCATCTATAATTATATGTCTATGGTTGGTTGTGGCTGTCAGTTTGCCTTTTGCTAATGTCTAAGTACAATCGTGCAAAAAATGTACAGTTTGGAAAGCAAATGGTTATTACTAAATGTGTAATGTGATTTTTTATTTTATTAATAAAATATTTGATCAGTCGTCTTCCTCAAATGAAGGGGATGATGATGCAATCTTTGCCAGAGGGGAAGGTATCTGATTTCATTAGTCCTCAACTCATGGCTCAGACACTTCATTCAGGATAAATGTTGAAATGTACCTGGCTAAAAGGTGAGCCATTTCGTATGACCGGTTATCTTGAGTTGAACTCAGAGTTGACCAATGTTACCTCACTAACTCCTCAAACCTGGTACATAGTATACCCCTCAGGTGGCAGTATGCACCCTTTCAGTTGGTTTACCAACTCATAGAAGTAGTAGAAGAAAATGGACTACTTCAAAATGGAGATGGCCTCCATGGCGCTGCCCATGCTCTGACAGACGCATAATAAGCCAGATACAAAGTTGCTTCCTTCTCTAACTATCTCTATGGGGCACACACACTGCTGGTCTGTGTGTGTGTGTGTGTGTGTGTGTGTGTGTGTGTGTGTGTGTGTGTGTGTAGGGTCACAGGAAGCTACAGTCTCCTGATTGGGCAGTGTCAGAGAAAGGCACTGGGGGAGAGGTCAACTTTCTAACAGGCTGCAGAGAGAACACTACATATTTATTAGAGAGAGTAACATGTTTGTGGATGTGAAAGAGATAGTTCATGTTGTGTATGATGTGTGTGTGTCTTTATGTGTGTGTGGTGGAGAGAAAGAGAGAGGTCTATTGTGACGTGGATGTCCCAACGCTCCTGCCTTCCCTAAACATTCCTGTTTTTTTCCTTTAGCTCCCCTGCCATAGCATTATTGTCCCCAGCCATTTCCACCTCCTCTCCTCCCATTGCCTTGCCATTCCCAGACATCTCCCCTGCCAGATCATTGTCCATTCCAGCCATGCCCTTCCCCAGCATCTCCTAACTCACCGGAGACTCTCCAGCTCTGCCGGGAGGTCGTACTTAATCAGCTTGTTGTATTTCTTGACGTGAGCCTCGCGGGCAAACTTCAAGTTCATCACCTGATCCATGTACCTGAGACAACACCAGACAGAGCATTATGAAAAGCTGATGAAAAGTACTACTTGCAAACGGTTACATCAAATTCAAATTTTTACAGTACTCCTCAGTCAATACTTGGTGTAGGCTTTGACTTAGAGAGAGCAGTCCTATCCTACCTCACCTGCCTATGGTCCCGAACAGCCACTTGGGTTCCTTGTTAAAGGGCATGTCCATCCTGTGGAAGCGGGCCATCTTTGAGGCTATCTCAGCAGACAGTTCCGGAACAAAGAGCTGCTCTGTACGCAAACGGTTGCTCTGGGAGATTAGGACAAAGACACAGGACTTTACACTCACAGTCACTGTTAAAATGTATGGGACTTTTCTGATACATCTGCCCAAAGGTCTGGACCTTTATGGAAAAGGTGCACTCGCCAGTCGTAAATCCCAGCTCCGGTTGTCCCCCCTCAATCAGTACAAAGACGCTAACTTGAAACTGTAAATTGTGATATGTCTGTTATTGTCAACCTGTACGTTGTGTTCGATATTTGAGTTTGCATACATTTTAATGCATACCTACACTACCGTTCAAAAGTTTGGGGTCACTTAGAAATGTCCTTGTTTTCGAAAGAAAAGCAATTTTTTTGTCCATTAAAATAACATCAAATTGATCAGAAATACAATGTAGACATTGTTAATGTTGTAAATGGCCCTCCTGTAGCTCAGTTGGTAAAGCATGGCGCTTGCAACGACAGGGTTGTGGGTTCGATTCCCATGGGGGGCCAGTATGAAAATTGTATGCACTCACTAACTGTAAGTCGCTCTGGATAAGAGCGTCTGCTAAATGACCAAAATGTAAAATGTAGCTGGAAACGGCTGATTTTTTATGGAATATCTACATAGGCGTACAGAGGCCCATTATCAGCAACCATCAGTCCTGTGTTCCAATGGCACGTTGTGTTTGCTATTCCAAGTTTATAATTTTAAAAGGCTAATTGATCATTAGAAAACCCTTTTGCAATTATGTTAGCACAGCTGAAAACTGTTGTGCTGATTAAAGAAGCAATAAAACTGGCCTTCTTGAGACTAGTTGAGTATCTGGAGCATCAGCAATTGTGGGTTCGATTACAGGATCAAAATGGCCAGAAACAAATAACTTTCTTCTGAAACTCGTCAGTCTATTCTTGTTCTGAGAAATGAAGGCTATTCCATGCGAGAAATTGCCAAGAAAATGAAGATCTCATACAACGCTGTGTACTACTCCCTTCACAGAACAGCGAAAACTGCCTCTAACCAGAATAGAAAGAGGAGTGGGAGGCCCCGGTGCACAACTGAGCAAGAGGACAAATACATTAGTGTCTAGTTTGAGAAACAGACGCCTCACAGGTCCTCAACTGGCAGCTTAATTAAATAGTACCCGCAAAACATTGGGCAGTGTCAGAGAAAAATTGCTTTTCTTTCGAAAACAAGGAAATTTCTAAGTGACCCCAAACTTTTGAACGGTAGTGTATGACAAGTGCGTATGTCTGTGTGTGCGTGGTAAAATATCCATAAGACAAAATTGGATATGCAGACATTTCTCTCTAAACATGGAATGTGAAAGTGAGTCTGTATACAGTATGTGTCTATTTAGCTCACAGTGACTAGTGAAAAACACATATGCAGAGAGATACTTTCAAACACGATTGAAACGGACAGTTTGCAAATGTCAAAGCTATTTGGGGCTTTGCCAGAAAGTAGAAAGGACATGTAACATGATGGTCAGAGAGAGAAGACCTGTCAACATCATGCATTCTGGAAGCACTCGCGAATGGATTCCATTTCAAACTGATTGATCAATATAGCGACGCTCAGGTGGTAACTAATATTGTACATTGTTAAACTAACAGCTACTGTTTTTAAAGGGGCACTCTGCAGTGCAAACAATAACAAAGGGGTATTCCCACCACAAATTTGGTAAACAGCTAAGGGATGGGGCTGGAGAAATGTAACCACCCTTAAATTCATAGACAGAGGTACAGATGCAAGGACTGACCATTCATGAGATTATAGTTTTAACCATGTTTCGAGGGTATACAGTGTTTGTTTACAATTACATTGTTTATAAACAATGGTGTAAAGAAATATTTTATTTGGGGTTCTGATAGGGTACTACAGTTGAACTAAACTCATGACGCATTCATAAGTTGTATTATTGGTGTATATACACTACCAGTCCAAAGTTTGGACACACCTACTCATTCAAGGGTTTTTCTTTATATATAATAATAGTGAAGACATCAAAACTATGAAATAATGTAGTAACGAAAAAAGTGTTACATTTTATATTTGAGTTTCTTCAAATAGCCACCCTTTGCCTTGATGACAGCTTTGCACCCTTGAATGACTAGGTGTGTCCAAACGTTTGACTGGTACTGTATATATTTTCCTTTTTTATGTTCCCCTAATGGATTCATCAGACCAGAGAATCTTGTTTCTCATGGTCTGAGAGTCTTTAGGTGCCTTTTGGCAAACTCCAGCGGCCTGTCGTGTGCCTTTTACTGAGGAGTGGCTTCCGTCTGGCCACTACCATAAAGGCCGGATTGGTGGAGTGCTGCAGAGATGGTTGTCCTTCTGGAAGGTTCTCCCATCTCCAAAGAGGAAATCTGGAGCTCAGTTTGACCAGGCGGCCAGCTCTAGGAAGAGTCTTGGGTGGTTCCAAACATCTTCCATTTAAGAATGATGGCAGCCACTGTGTTCTTGGGAACCTTCAATGCTGCATCAATGTTTTGGTACCATTTCCCAGATCTGTGCTTCGACACAATCCTGTCTCGGAGCTCTATGGACAATTCCTTCGACCTCATGGCTTGGTCTTTGCTCTGACATGCACTGTCAACTGTGGTACCTTATATAAAACAGGTGTGTGCCTTTCCAAATCATGTCCAATCAATTGGATTTACCACAGGTGGACTCCAATCAAGTTGTAGAAACAGCTCAAGGATGATCAATGGAAACAGGATGCACCTGAGCTCAATTTCAAGTCTCATAGCAAAGGGTCTGAATACTTATTTAAATAAGGTATCTGTTTTTTATATTAAATACATTTGCAAAAAAATCTAAAAACCTGTTTTCGCTTTGGCATTATGGGGTATTGTGTGTAGATTGATGAGGAAATAAATTATTTTAATCAATTTTAGAATAAGGCTGTACCGTAACAAAATGTGGAAAAAGTCAAGGGGTCTGAATACTTTCCGAAACACCATCCAGTTTTGATTTCTATTTGCCATACTTTTTAAAAACTGTGCTATGATGTTTGACAAAAGTTCTGAACCTTTGTATTCCCATAGTTTCTACAGATTGTACATAAAATAAAAATTTGTTGCTAAAAGTATTATATTATTGATCGATTGACTATGACTTTTCAAATCACCCAGCAGTGCCATTTGCAGAGTTAGCTCACTTCCTGAACCTGTGACCAAGAACAAGCTACATATGGACAGTACCAAAGCAAATTATCTGGTGATTCTGTCTTTTCACAGCAAAATCTGCAGCGCTGGGATGGTTGTATCCCCCATTTATATAACATTGTATTGTTTGCAAGAACTTTGTATAATAATCTGGCGTCGTTTTGTGCTTCAGCTCATAAACCATGTGCCATGGAATCGGTACATCGAAAATGTCTTCCCAACTGTTTTGCAATCTATATGACACAGGTGTCAATTTTTTGGTCCTTAAATGAAACTGCTATTCTTTTTTATTTATCACAACTTTCTGTAAGCATTTTCTTTAATGCAGGGCCGACAGACAAGTTCCATACTTTTTCCACCTTCCAATTGCCTCTTCCATTTTTGCGGTAATGTTGCAATTAGTTGGTTGTAATTTTGGGTAGAGCAGACATTTCCATAGATTTTTGTTAGCTGCATGTGTGACATAACTCCACCAGTTCTATTTATGATATCATTTACAAAGATCATACATTTCTTCAATTTTTCCTGGTGGATTAAACTGAAATTGCAAGCAATTTTATATGGCTTGTTTTAAGAATAGCAATATTTTTTAGATTATTTTACTTTCAAATAACCGAAAGTGAGAGGTTGTAATCTGAATAAAGGGACAAAGGCCATTCTTGAACAAGGGGTGAGACATTCTTACTAATCTACTAGAGAACCAGTTTGGATTTAAGTATAACTTTTGTATGACTGAAATCTTTAGTGAGAGGTCTATTGCTTTAATATTTAACAATTTCTGCCCTCCGAATTTATATTTATTTATTATATATATATATATATATATATATAGGCTAGTTTAATTTTGTCTGGCTTGCCGTTCCAAATAATATTGAATATTTTTTGCTCATATATTTAAAAAACACGAGTCGCTAGGTGTAGGCAAGGCCATAAGGAAATAGGTAAACTGGGATATGACTAAAGAGTTAAATCAGAGTGATTTTTCCACAAATAGACAGGCATTTTCCTTTCCACTGTAGCAAGATCTTATCTATTTTTGCTAACTTTCTAATAAAATGTATTGTAGTGAGATCATTTCTTTCGGGATAGGAATACCGAATATGTCCACATCACCGTCAGACCATGTTATTGGTAAACTACACAGTAATGTCAAAGTTGTATTTTCTAGTGATCCAATACGTAATCCAGGCTCTGTCGCAGCCGGCCGTGACCGGGAGACTCATGGGCGGCGCACAATTGGCCCAGCGTCGTCCAGGGTAGGGGAGGGAATGGCCGGCAGGGATGTAGCTCAGTTGATAGAGCATGGCGTTTGCAACGCCAGGGTTGTGGGTTCGTTTCCCACCGGGGGACAGTATAAAAAAAAAAAAATATGTATTCACTAACTGTAAGTCGCTCTGGATAAGAGCGTCTGCTAAATGACGTAAATGTAATGTAAATGTAATATAGTACACTTAACAACATTTGGTTGTAATCCAGAGGTTAGAAAAAGTATCTACATCCTCTATGAGGCTGTGGAGGGATCCAGATTGTGGATTTAAAAGAAAACATGAATCATCAGCGTACCATGACACCTTTGTTTTTAAGCCCTGGAATTTTAGCCCCTTAATATTGTTGGATCTGATTTTAATAACTAACATTTCGATGGCCATAATAAATAGATATGCCGATAGTGGACAACCTTGTTTTACTCTGACAGTAGCCATTATTTAATATTTTACACCTTGGGTTACTATACATAACTTCAACCCATTGTATAATAGATTCTCCAAAATTGAAATATTCCAGGCATTTATATATAAATTCCAGTCGTACTTTATTAAAATACTTTTCAAAGTCAGCTATGAATACCAGTTATGAACGTGTGACTACGTAGCAGACAACAAAAGTTGCAATGTCTGGCTATTATAATATTTTCTCTTGGTTTTATTATTCTTGTGTGTGCGCGTACCGGCAGGTACTGTTCCAGGCGTCCCTCAGGGAAGATTCCATAGAGCCGTGGCCCCAGTGCTCTCTCCGCCAGGATGGCAAACATCACACTCTCCAGGACCAGAGAATCCACTCCCTGTTCTCTCACACACACACACACACACACACACACACACACACACACACACAGAAGAGATGAGTCAGAGACCATTTCATGGGCTGCTGATGAGGACTGATGATGTTCTGTTCAGGGACTGTGTAATATTGAGTACATAACATTCATCTGTTTGATGTTAGGTCTAGCCTATGCCATGTCTCTTTCTGTAATGAATCCTTTCCTATCGCATTTTTTTGTACATAAAGCAAATATGAGAAAAACAGACAATATCTATCCATCTGTCAGCTCTACATGACTGATCTCAACACAGGACTTCTCATCTTGTGTAGATCTACAATGTACATATTGTATGTGGAATGTGTTCATTCTTAGCTCATGTGACCACATGATTATGTGGTCCTCTGTAGCTCAGTTGGTGGAGCATGGCACTTGCAACACCAGGATAGTGGGTTCGATTCCCGGGATTACTCATATGTAAAATGTATGCACACATCATGACTAAGTTGCTTTGAATAAACGCAATGGCATTATTTTATTATAATACGATGTGCAAGTGACACGTCAACTTTATTTCTGTATTCCTTGTTTTGTAGGCTAAGAATGAGCCTCAAATTTGCATCATCAAAGTCATGAAAATGCGACCATTTAAGATACAGTGGGGAGAACAAGTATTTGATACACTGCCTATTTTGCAGGTTTTCCTACTTACAAAGCATGTAGAGGTCTGTAATTTTTATCATAGGTACACTTCAACTGTGAGAGACGGAATCTAAAACAAAAATCCAGAAAATCACATTGTATGATTTTTAAGTAATTAATTTGCATTTTATTGCATGACATAAGTATTTCAGAAAAGCAGAACTTAATATTTGGTACAGAAACCTTTGTTTGCAATTACAGAGATCATACGTTTCCTGTAGGTCTTGACCAGGTTTGCACACACTGCAGCAGGGATTTTGGCCCACTCCTCCATACAGACCTTCTCCAGATCATTCAGGTTTTGGGGCTGTCGCTGGGCAATACGGACTTTCAGCTCCCTCCAAAGATTTTCTATTGGGTTCAGGTCTGGAGACCGGCTAGGCCACTCCAGGACCTTGAGATGCTCCTTATGGAGCCACTCCTTAGTTGCCCTGGCTGTGTGTTTCGGGTCGTTGTCATGCTGGAAGACCCAGCCACGACCCATCTTCAATGCACTTACTGAGGGAAGGAGGTTGTTGGCCAAGATCTCGCGATACATGGCCCTATCCATCCTCCCCTCAATACGGTGCAGTCGTCCTGTCCCCTTTGCAGAAAAGCATCCCCAAAGAATTGTTTCCACCTCCATGCTTCACGGTTGGAATGGTGTTCTTGGGGTTGTACTCATCCTTCTTCTTCCTCCAAACACGGCGAGTGGAGTTTAGGCTAAAAAGCTCTATTTTTGTCTCATCAGACCACATGCCCTTCTCCCATTCCTCCTCTGGATCATCCAGATGGTCATTGGCAAACTTCAGACGGGCCTGGACATGCGCTGGCTTGAGCAGGGGGACCTTGCGTGCGCTGCAGGATTTTAATCCATGACGGCGTAGTGTGTTTCTAATGGTTTTCTTTGAGACTGTGGTCCCAGCTCTCTTCAGGTCATTGACCAGGTCCTGCCGTGTAGTTCTGGGCTGATCCCTCACCTTCCTCATGATCATTGATGCCCCACGAGGTGAGATCTTGCATGGAGTCCCAGACCGAGGGTGATTGACCGTCATCTTGAACTTCTTCCATTTTCTAATAATTGCGCCAACAGTTGTTGCCTTCTCACCAAGCTGCTTGCCTATTGTCCTGTAGCCCATCCCAGCCTTGTGCAGGTCTACAATTTTATCCCTGAAGTCCTTACACAGCTCTATGGTATTGGCCATTGTGGAGAGGTTGGAGTCTGTTTGATTGAGTGTGTGGACAGGTGTCTGTTATACAGGTAACGAGTTCAAACAGGTGCAGTTAATACAGGTAATGAGTGGAGAACAGGAGGGCTTCTTAAAGAAAAACTAACAGGTCTGTGAGAGCCGGAATTCTTACTGGTTGGTAGGTGATCAAATACTTATGTCATACAATAAAATGCAAATTAATTACTTAAAAATCATACAATGTGATTGAAGTGTACCTATGATAAAAATTACAGACCTCTACATGCTTTGTAAGTAGGAAAACCTGCAAAATCGGCAGTGTATCAAATATGACTGTAAGTCGCTTTGGATAAAAGCGTCTGCTAAATGGCATATTATTATTATTACTTGTTCTCCCCACTGTATATATTAAATTGTTTAAACGTGTTTTCAAGTGAATTAACTTAACATTTGCCATATTTGACGGCCAAGAAGTAGTACGAAGTCGAAAAGTTTAATCTGTTTCATTAGATCTACAGGCATGAACTACAAATCTTTTGACAGCTCGCCGGTCCACAATCAAACATTTTTTTAAAGTATTGGCTGCCAACGTTCTGTAAAAAAAAAACTGCGTATTCCAATATAAAACACAAATGGCCTGTAACGAATGGGTTCTTACCAAGTCCTGAGCAGGCACGCTCTGGCATGCTATCAAAGCAGCAGGAGATGTAGTCCAAATTAGACTTTTCTAACTTTCGGCAACTTGTCTTACTTAATGAGCGTCAAATATTTTGATAAAAGGCATCAGGTCTGGCTAAATCAATACATAAATAATAAGAATATAATTTTATACAGTGCCTTCGGAAAGTATTCAGACCCCTTGACGTTCATATTTTGTTACGTTACAGCCTTATTCAAAAATACAATTATTTTCCCCCTCATCAATCTACACACAATACCCCATAATGACAAAGCAAAAACAGGTTGACATTTTTGCAAATGTATTAAAAATAAAAAACAGAAATATTACATTTACATAAGTATTCAGACCCTTTACTCAGTACTTTGTTGAAGCACCTTTGGCAGCGATTACAGCATCAAAGTCTTCTTGGGTATGACGCTACACGCTTGGCACACCTGTATTTGGGGAGTTTCTCCCATTCTTCTCTGCAGATCCTCTCAAGCTCTGTCAGGTTGGATGCGGAGCGTTGCTGCAGAGCTATTTTCAGGTTTCTCCAGAGATGTTCGATCGGGTTCAAGTCCGGGCTCTGGTTGGGCCACTCAAGGCATTCAGAGACTTGATCCGAAGCCACTCCTGCGTTATCTTGGCTGTGCGCTTAGGATCGTTGTCCTGTTGGAAGGTGAACCTTTGCCCCAGACTGAGGTCCTGAGCGCTCTGGAGCAGGTTTTCATCAAGGATCTCTCTGTACTTTGCTCCGTTCATCTTTGCCTCGATCCTGACTAGTCTCCCAGTCCCTGCAGCTGAAAAACATCCCCACAGCATGATGCTGCCACCACCATTCTTCACCGTAAGGATGGTGCCAGGTTTCCTTCCAGACGTGATGCTTGGCATTCAGGCCAAAGAGTTCAATCTTGGTTTCATCAGACCAGAGAATCTTGTTTCTCATGGTCTGAGTTTTTAGGTGCCCTTTGCTAAACGCCCAGCATGCGGTCATGTGCCTTTTACTGAGGAGTGGCTTCCGTCTGGTGACTCTACCATGAAGGCCTGATTGGTGGAGTGCTGCAGAGATGGTTGTCCTTCTGGAAGGTTCTCCCATCTCCAGAGAGGAACTCTAGAGCGCTGTCAGAGTGACCATCAGGTTCTTGGTCACCTCCCTGATCAGGGCCCTTCTCCCCCGATTGCTTAGTTTGGCCGGGCTACCAGCTCTAGGAAGAGTCTTGGTGGTTCCAAACTTCCACTTAAGAATGATGGATGCCACTTACGGACCTTCAATGCTGCAGGCATTTTTTGGTACCCTTCCCCTGATCTGTGCCTCGACACAATCCTGTCTCGGAGCTCTACAGACAATTCCTTCGACTTCATGGCTTGGTTTTTGCTCTGACATGCATGGTCAACTGTGGGACCTTATAGACAGTTGTGTGCCTTTCCAAATCATGTCCAATCAATTGAATTTACCACAGATGGACTCCAATCAAGTTGTAGAAACATCTCAAGGATGATCAATGGAAACAAGATGCACCTGAGCTCAATTTCGAGTCTCATAGCAAAGGGTCTGAATACTTATATAAATAAGGTATTTCTGTTTTAAATTTTTACTAAATGTCCTAACATTTCTAAAAAGCTTTGTCAATATGGGGTAGTGTGTAGATTGCTGAAGATTTTTTATTCATTTAATCCATTTTAGAATAAGGCTGTAACTTAACAAAATATGGAAAAAGTAAAGGGTTTGAATACTTTCAGAAGGCACTGTACTTTCACAAGGCAGTACTGTGAAAAAGTTTTTGCCCCCTTTCAAATTCTCTACTTTTGCATATTTTTGAAAGTGAACGTTATCAGCTCTTCAACCAAAACCTAATTTTAGATAAAGGGAACCTGAGTGAACAAATAAAACAACAATTACATACTTATTTCATAAAACAAAGTTATGCAACACCCAATGCCCCCGTGTGAAAAAGTAATTGCCCCCTTACACTTAATAACTGGTTGTGCCACCTTTAGCTGCAATGACTCCAACCAAATGCAAGAAAAGTTATACTTTTGACTCATTTGTCCATAGAACATTCTTCCAAGAGTCTTGATGATCATCCAGGTGCTTCTTGGCAAACTTCATTCAACCTTTTGGACGAGATAGGTCCCATTATGTGTGGCGAAAACCAAACACTGCATTCCACAGTAAGAACCTCTACCAATGGTCAAGCATGGTAGTTGTAGTGTGATGGTTTGGGGATGCTTTGTTGCCTCAGGACCTGGACGACCTGCCTTAATAGAAGGAACAATGAATTCTGCTCTGTATCAGAGAATTCTACATGAGAATGTCAGGCCATCCGTCTGTGAGCTGAAGCTGAAGCGCAGCTGGGTCATGCAGCAAGACAATGATCCAAAACACACAATCAAGTGGTTAAAAAGCAACACATTTTAAGTTTTGGAATGGCCTAGTCAAAGTCCAGACCTAATCCCAATTGAGAAATTGTGGCAGCACTTGAAACGATCAGCTCATGCTTGAAAATCTGCAAATGTCACTGAGTTAAAGCAGTTCTGCACGCAGGAGTGGGCCAAAATTCCTCCACAGCGATGTGAGACTGATCAACAACTACAGGAAGCATTTGGTTGCAGTCATTGCAGCTAGATAAAGGTGGCACAACCAGTAATGCGTGTAAGGGGGCAATTACTTTATCACACAGGGGAATTGGGTGTTGCATAACTTTGTAAATTAAATAAAATAAGTATATATTTGTATTTTATTTAAAACTCAGGTCCCCTTGATCTAATATTAGGTTTTGGTTGAAGATATGATAACATTCAGTATCAAAAATATGCAAAAATCTGAAAAGGGGCAAATACAGGTAGTGTATATACATTGCCGTGAAAAATTAAAAAGTTTGGACACACCTACTCATTCAAGGGTTTTTCTTTATTTTTACATTGTAGAATAATAGTGAAGACATCAAAACTATGAAATAACACATATGGAATCATGTAGTAACCAAAGAAGTGTTAAACAAATCAAAATATATTTTATATTTGATATTCTTCAAATAGTCACCCTTTGCCTTGATGACAGCTTTGCACACTCTTAGCATTCTTTCAACCAGCTTCATGAGGTAATCACCTCATAACCGGTGCCCCCGCACACCGACTCTGTACCGGTACCCCCTGTATATAGCCTCCCTACTGTTATTTTATTTTACTGCTGCTCTTTAATTATTTATAATTTTTTTATGTGTTTTCTTCTTTTCTTATAAACTGCATTGTTGGTTAAGGGCTTGTAAGTAAGCATTTAACTGTAAGGTCTACCCCTGTTGTATTTGGTGCATGTGGTAAATAACATTTGATTTGATTTTAATGCATTTCAATTAACAGGTATGCCTTCTTAAAAGTTAATTTGTGGAATTTCTTTCCTTCTTAATGCGTTTGAGCCAATCAGTTGTGTTGTGACAAGGTAGGGAGGGGGGGGGTATACAGAAGATAGCCCTATTTGGTAAAAGACTAAGTCCATATTATGGCAAGAACAGCTCAAATAAGCAAAGAGAAATGACAGTCCATCATTACTTTAAGACATGAAGGTCAGTCAATACGGAACATTTTAAGAACTTTGAAAGTTTCTTCAAGTGCAGTCGCAAAAACCATCAAGCTCTATGATAAAACTGGCTCTCATGAGGACCGCCACAGGAATGGAAAACCCAGAGTTACCTCTGTTGCAGAGGATAAGTTCATTAGAGTTACAGAGTTACCAGCCTCAGAAATTGCAGCCCAAATAAATGCTTCACAGAGCTCAAGTCACAGACATCTCAACAGCAACTGTTTAGAGGGGACTGTGTGAATCAGGCCATGGTCGAATTGCTGCAAAGAAACCACTACTAAAGGACACCAATAAGAAGAAGAGACCTGCTTGGGCCAAGAAACATGAGCAATGGACATTAAACCGGTGGAAATGTGTCCTTTGGTCTGGAGTCAAAATGTGAGATTTTTGGTTCCAACCGCTGTGTCTTTGTGAGACGCGGTGTTGGTGAACGGATGATCTACGTATGTGTAGTTCCCACAGTAAAGCATGTAGGAGGTGGTGCTATGGTGTGGGGGTGCTTTGCTGGTGACACTGTCTTTGATTTAATTAAAATTCAAGGCACACTTAACTAGCATGGCTACCACAGCATTCTGCAGTGATACGCAATCCCATCTGGTTTGGGCTTAGTGGGACTATAATTTGTTTTTCAACAGGACAATGACCCAACACACCTCCAGGCTGTGTAAGTGCTATTTTACCAAGAAAGAGAGTGATGGAGTGCTGCATCAGATGACCTGGCCTCCACAATCCCCCAATCTTAACTCAATTAAGATAGTTTGGGATGAGTCGGACCGCAGAGTGAAGGAAAAGCAGCCAACAAGTGCTCAGCTTATGTGGGAACTCCTTCAAGACTGTTGGAAAAGCATTCCAGGTGAAGCTGGTTGAGAGAATGCCAAGAGTGTGCAAAGCTGTCAAAGCAAAGGGTGGCTATTTGAAGAATCTCAAATATAAAATATATTTTGATTTGTTTAACAGTTTTTTGGTTACTACATGATTCCATATGTGTTATTTCATAGTTTTGATGTCTTCACTATTATTCTACAATGTAGAAAATAGTAAAAATAAAGTGTCCAAACTTTTGACTGGTACTGTATCTTAAATGACCACGTTTTCATGAATTTGATTATATAATCTTGAAGCACATTCAAAAGAGCCGGGACATGACCCCAGAAGTATGACGTCACTTGCACATCGTCTATTCTTCGTCTAAATATTCTAGGGCTGGGAATTGCCAGGGACCTCACGATATTATCACGATTCTTAGGTGTCGATACAATATGTATTGCGATTCTATACATATCACGATTCTATATGTATTGCGATTCTATACATATCACGATTCTATATGTATTGCGATTCGATACTGTGATTTTATTGCGATTCGATGTTCCAATACAGTGAGCTCCAAAAGTATTGGGACAGTGACACTTTTTGTTTTGGCTCTGTAAGTGCAGACTGTCAGC